ATGCAAAGCTAAAAATTGGCGCTAGCAAATGCTTTTGACGCACGCCTCCGTACTGTACTGCACATCACTCAGTCCAACTCATCAATAATGCATGACCAGCCACCAGCCATGAAGCCATTCAAGTGAAGATGTTCTGCAGGTGGGACTTGGCGTTTAGACACTGACTACTAGTTACAGTTCTAGGATGCTGATTGGGCGAACTTGACTTTATCGCAGCCCCTTTCCGCCCCTGTCTTGGCAACCATTTCACCCCGAACACCCTTCAGCATCAATCTGGCAGAACACCGCAAACTCCTCACAACACCCTGCAGAACACTTGAACTGGATGCTGCACCTGCCAGCGCATGTCTTGGCATCTAGGCACACGCCAAACCCCGTGCTAACCACCCGCGCTAGCACTAGCGCGGTTTGCATTTCTATATCTACCTGCCATCTGCGCACAACTCGCAAAATCTTTTCTTTTTTCTTCTTCTTACACAACCGACCTGAGCTTTGCCCACTGCCCAGTCTTGTACTTTACTACTGACCCATAGGTGATAGTTTCTTGGTAAGCATGTCCCTCAAGCCACTCATTCACCCCCTTTCCCTTCCCAAGCTCAGCGTCGGTGGGCTGCTGGCTACGGTTGGATGTGCTAGGCCTTACACTACTGCCTGGGATGTTCTTCCGTGACTGTACCACAGCCTTTTCAGTATCCCAGGCGGGCAGACTCCCCTGAAGTCCAAAGGGTCAGATACTCGCTCTGAACTCTGCGGATGGTGAATCTCCACTCTGCTTAGCCTTGCCTCACTTCTACCTCACTTTCACCAAGTTTGGAGTTGTGGGCCGGGTCGTCTGGGTTTACTCTTTCAACAACACCATCAGCACAGTGTTTGACATCGCACGGTGTTTGGGCGGCAGTATACCCAAATCCACCTCTACCCCGAGAAACGTGATTTCAGCGTGATTGGTTCGATCCCGACACCTGGACAGTACACACTGTGATGACCCAGTGATGGCGAGCAGGCCGCTTACTTTTTGAAGGCGTCTTTGTTACGTGGCCGTCCATGGAGCGTGCTGTCCTTTTTTTAGGCTTCCCAGTCTCCAAGGTCTGGCGGGTTTCCATGACGGGGTGCGATTCCACTTGTGGGGATCAACCACGGCGGTTGCACATTTTGACGGGCGTGCCAATTCAACTTGGTGGTCTCTACGGACTTCTCTCTACGGATAGGGGTCGGCTCCTCTGGGCCGGGCCGGATCCCGGGAGCCCTGCGAGTTATGGCCTTGTATCACTGATATGAGGCCTGTGCCTTTGGCACATCGCTAATTTTTGGAACACTTTTTTTTATACCACTGTGGTGATGGATGTATTCGTACCTCTCACCACCAAAACTCTTTTTTTTTCATCATCTACTTGGGCTGGTCTCAGGATTTGGAGAAGAAATCTCGTCTTGGTAGGAAGCGTCTTTGCGCTGCCTCAATATGCTTTCTATTACTCGTTGGATCTCGTCGCTGTAACTCACAACGACCAATAGCAATGGACATGCTCCACTGCCGAAGGAGGCGCCTTCATATGATATAATAGCAATCCTCAACCACCGTCTAATAAATTTCTCACCATCATTATCTCCTTTAGGACCTACAAGTATAGCAATCCTTCGAGCAAACAATCAACACTTTCCATAAGTTATGCCTCGGAGGGAAACAGCAGGGCTCTTGTTGCACGCATTCTTGCCACGCTCATCAGTTTTCACGACCAATTCAAGGAACCAGCACCCCTGTTCCCCTCTGATATTGTCTAGTCACACATGCCCAGGAGTCGTCCGTATTTCAAGTGGCTTTAATCCCATCTTCTGCTCCAGACATTCAGGCCAGGACTGCGCATAGAAATCGTTCATCGTTATTGTCTTCTTTATCTTCAGCTGCGTCCGTGCTCTGACAAAGCATAGATCTGTTCCCAAGCCTGTATGGATAGGCCCCTCGTGATCCCAATAAACCTTCAATTGTTGAATATTTTTAGCCTTGCAGCCGAGTTTCTGAAAAAGCTCTCCCCAGCGCGTAGCAGAGGATGCACCAGAGTACGCGTTCAGGAAGACGTGGGGTTGGTTATGTAAGCGCAGTCATTCTTGTTAAGCCACCAGAGGAGGTAGTCCGGTTGGTGGAGTAATGAGGAGAGAGGTGGTTGAGAAAGACGGAGTTTGGAGTCGATGACACTATTGGATGAGAGAGAGAGAGAGAGAGAGAGAGAGGAGAGAGTCTGGTCACTGATTTATGGCCCATTGGAGAGGCATGGTGTGGAATATGGGGCTGAGGAAGAAAGGTATCAGAAGGTGTGGATCCCGCGTAGGTGTTGTGCTGGCATGGAGGATGGGCAAGAAGGGCCAGCATGTAGTACCATGAATGGATGGATGGATGGATGGATGGATGGGACTTGATGCATGGATGCATGCACACTCTGAGGATGGAAGCAGGATGGATATCGCCTCCATCGCCTCTGCTGTTTCCCGTCTTCACAGCCACGCCAACCTGCTTTCTCCCTCGCTCGCTCGTTCGGTATGCGAATGACAGGTGCGAAGTCTCTTTCTGGTGACCTACACTGCAGCAGGAAGCTCGCTTCACCATAACCCTTTTCCCGCAAATCTCCACCTCGTTTCACCCCCACACCACTTGAGACCGAGGCGGTCCTTCGATCTCTCTACGCTTTTCGCCGACTCCATCCCCTTTCCTCATCTTGACCGAAAAATCCCATATCCCACAACCGTTGTACACACGAAAGAGAGAGAGAGAGAGGTAAGAAGGAGAAGCCGATTTTTCCCCAACAGCCAGACGTGGCCCTGACATGACACGTCTCTCCGAAGCAGCGCACACCTCGCCATCAACCTCGCCTCCCTTACCGACACAGGAGCTATACCCCAGGCAAGGATGCGATTCAACCTCCTCCCAATGGAGATCCAGCTCTACATCCTTAGCCTCCTTGATGATAATATACTTGTCTTCCTACAACGTGTTCATCCATACCTCGACCGCCTGATTGGCAGCCTCATGACGCGACTGTGGGATGGATGGTGGACGTGGAAGCCGCCGTTCAAGGATTTGAAGGTTAAGCATCTGGATGAGCATGAGTCCGGGTCGGACGGTACGGGTGAAGACGATTCTGAGACGGACGATTCTGAGAATGACGACTGTGAGATCGACGACTATGGCTATTAAATGGGGAAGGGAGGTTCAGATGTAATAGCTGAAGAAGGTTCAGGGGGCAAGGAAGAGGGTGGTGAGGCGGAAGAAGCAGAGCAGGGCAGGTTCTGACGTAGGGAAGGATAGTTTTTGGGCAGATGGGGGGGGGGGCGATGGACCTGGCTGGAAAGTCGAATTGCTTTGGAAAGAGTTGCCAATACGATCAGTGCACCTAGGTCAGAGTTATAGTGCACAAAAGCATGGCTGAAGATCGCCCACAAGGTAATACGCGGAAGGAAAGGTGGTCCTAGGAAGATCGGTGAATGAAACCACGACGAGGCATCACCAAGTCCCAAGGGCACATACAATTCCAAGGAGTACTCCAAGATCATAACTGTTCTCTCGCCGTGAGATATTCGTGCACGTCTCTATTCTTCTTCGAGTTGTGACCTCTCCTGCTTTTGACCTTGATTTTCTTCTGTAGTAGGCAGCCCTCAGCGAGCAAACACATCTGCCTATCTCTTGTTGCTGGTAGAAAGGCTGCCTCACGAACTCAAGCTGCTCGTGCCGTCTTCACATCACCATAAAACCTCATGTGAACTCGATCTCCGACGAAAAAGCGTGTGAAGTGCAGATCAACATTCAGTGGTACGCCATCTGACGAACATCACTTAGAGACTGCTCGTTAATACATGCTCTTGTCGATAGTCATCTTCCGACCAGACCAAATCATGGACCACGACTCATTTTTTGACAGTTCGCAGGCAGAATCGTAAGATCTACCTTACTCTCCAGAGCCAACAAGTCGAAATCGAGCGCTGACACAATCTCTCGCAGTTGCAACATGCCGGACAGGATGGACACCACAAAGAAGAGTCTCACCTCACTTCCTGATGAGCTCCTCCTGGACGTCGTCAGCTATCTTGATTCCAAGTCTCTCAAGAATCTGCGAAGCACATGCGCGCGATTCGGGCGATTTGTCAACCGAGCAGACATCATCAAGCGCGAGAGGAAGGAGAAGCTATCACGACGTGTGAACAGAATCTATTTCATCAACTGGATGATGGGCACGGAAAACAGTCTAAAGGACATCGAAGAGCGGATTGAACAGCTGATCGAGCCAGCCAAAGCTTATTGTGAAAGGCTGATTGCGATTTGCAAGGACAAGGAGGATCTCCAAGGGGTGGAAGAGTTCACTGCATACTTGGACAATCAAAGGATAGCCGAGGCGACCTACCTACTGAATGTCTGGATTCTCCGTTTCGTTATGCAGAAAGACCCAGCGGATCAAGCAAGACTGGGACGGACGGTGGATGGTTCGTTGCGCCGAAGAATTTCAGACATCAAGCGGAGTATCAGAAAGCTTCTTGGACAGGCAAAACGTCGAGGGAAGTGCTACATGAGAAGATTGGGAGCCCGACGATCGGAATGAAGATGCGAAGGCATGGCGAGAAATGTACCAGTCTTCGTGAGTAGGGTCCAGGTGGTGCTCAAGAGGCTGTGATGTTACCCATGCAACTCTCCATGGTCGGACATTTGCTTGGCCAATCATTGTTGCAATGAAGCACTTGCTCGTGGTCCTGGCCATAACAAACCAGTGCTAGCTATTCTATCCAAAAAGATTCAACTTGGTGGTAGATTCACTCCTCTGCTTCAGTCAACCGGCACAAAGCTGCGCAATCCTCTCTCTTTACTGCCTGGCCCCTCCTGTGCGCAAGCAAGTAAATACCACATGGGTCGAGATCGGGTGCATCGTCTATGTACATCGCAGATGCTGAAGCCGGCTGCACTGTGGCTCAGATTCAGAAGCCGCAGCGTTATAGGTTCATCTTGCTCGTAGTAACACGTAGATAGACTGCTGTGGATGGATCCTGATCTCCAGTTGAATACACGTTATATACTCAGGGCAATACAAGGCAAAAGCGCAAGCGAGAGCCACCTCTTGCCTCACGCCCAAAAGTCGGCCATTACAATCTCAACTTCGTCTATCTTGAGCCGTTTCGTACTCCTCCCGCCATCGACAAACACGGTCAAGGATTGGTGGAGCGTGCCCGTCTATCGAAGGGCAATGACCAAAGCTCAAATGCAACTCTCGATGCATTGCGCAAAGCGCTTGAGAGCCATATTTCTGGTAGACTGAAAGCCACCTGGTACACTAACAAGGTCGACAACAATTGGAGCAAGCAATTAGATATCACTGATTAATCATCCCATCGCCTTATCGAGGTGTCCGGGATGGGCATCTAGAACTGTGGGGCGAAGAATTGAGGGAATCGTTCTCAGAAGTCCAGTGCTGTCTAACTCTGCCGGCCCTCAAATCTCAACGACTGACGACAAACCTCGGACGCCGACCGATGTTGACCTCTTGAACACGCTTCCTAACCAGCAACCTCTCCTTGATTGTCCGACTTTCCGGACTTGCCTTGGCAGGTAACCACGGAGAAGTTTCACCGCGTAGGCCTTCGCTGGAGATCGTGCGATATGTGATACCATCCTTGGTAATGTCTTTGGCTCTTTTCGAGGCAGGACGATTCGATCTCGATTTCCTTTGCGCGATAGAAGTGACTTTTGGCTCTGTAAAAGGCAAACGTTTGTCACTACCAGCCTTGAGATTGCCATTATGCGGGATCAGGCTGGACACTGGCTTCTCGTGCTTAATGGCTTCTGGCGCAGCGGTTTTGAGCTTCGGCTTCTTGGACTTTGGCGGTTTGGGAGTGGGAGCATGAGGCAGGCTCTGTTTGTAATTTGTACTGAGCGTCTCAGGAACACCATCGTCATCACTTGCAGCGTCCGGATTGTCATCCAATTCTAGTTGAGCATTCGCAGATTCGCGCTCGCCGGCTAGAATCGTACCCTTTGAATCTTCGCCTATTTCGGACTCAGGGCTCTCACTTCGAAAGCGTTTGTGAACAGCACGGCGACCCTCAGCTACTCCCGAAGTACTTTCACGGATAGGAAGTGGCTGGGCTGAGTCCAGCTGCTTGCTCGCATCAACAGCTCCGATAGCACCGTTCTCAGCAAGCGACGCAGAGCTTGGAAGCTCGATATCTGTCGGAGACGGGCGAGACTCCGCACCAGCACTACCCTCCGGCCTCAAAACCGTAGGCAGACAGTCCTCCCTTGGGCTGTTGCTCTTAGCATCATCCATACTATTAGTAGATTCTGCTGCAATCTCGAGCTGTTTCCGTAGAGCCTCGGATTCACCATGCTGGAAGTGAGGAGAAAGCTCTGGATGCCGTGAATCAACATCGATGGTACGAGAACGGAGGCTCAACACATTGAGATCCTCGACTGCATCTCCTGACACCATTGTGGCTTGAGTGACTTGTGGACTTTGTAGGGATCAGGAAGGTGGCAGCAATATTTAAATTGGATGTAAGGGGAAGCTACGCCTCGCCCGTGGGCCTTGAATTTTTCGGCGTGGTGGAAGACCTATCGGCACATCTTCGGGCCATAAATCGAGCACGCCTAATAGGGGAATTGAGGAATATAGAAGCAAGAAGAAAGATATATACTGGATCGATCAAGAGATACTATCCGCATGCTGAGCACATATGACTACATACTTATACCGCTTTCTTCCCTTGCGCTAGCGCTTCGAGGCTCTTGCTCTCACCCTTCTGATCCCGTGTCTCTGGTAAGAAATACCTCGACACCGGAGCTCCGATGGCCATAACAAAGGCAAGGACCATCAATATCCAGCCCAGCGATCTGCGTTTGCCAGCATCCTCCCCTGGAAACCGTACATGAGCGATAAACGCTTGACCTACAATGCTCCCTAATTTGCCAGCCGCGGCAGAGATGCCGTGGCAAGTACACCTGTACCTCGTTGGGAATATCTCGGCGGGAATGATATAGGTAGTTGTATTCGGGCCAAGGTTGAAGGCAATTTGACATAGCACGTAAAGCATGATGATGATGCCTTTGAAGTCTGAGAAGAGAAGTTTGCCGAAGGCGCCGCCAATGGTGAGGAAGAGAATGGCTAGGGCGATGAAGCCGTAAAATTGAATCGCTTTGCTGGACCAATATTTTATTGCTTTGATGATGAGAAGTGAGCCGACCATCGTGCCAATCGAAGTAAGCACAAGAGACTGTGTGGTGTTGTCTAGCAAGATGTGGTATACGGCTTTGGCGGTTGGGTCGTTAGGATTGTGCCAGAGGTTCTGACTGATTTCGGGGGTGCTAAGTCCCAAACCATAGAAGGCGAACTGATAGTGTTAGCTTCTAGACTACTCAGAATAAGATGAATTGACATACATCGAGACAGAACCACGTGGACGAGGTAGCTACAAGATAGATCCAATTCTTCTCCTTGATGAAGAAGTTGTTCGCATCCTCCCAAGATGCTTGTGGCGGTTGTTGCTCGTTCAGTGGCACAGGCTCCACGGTATGAGCGCTTAAGGGGAAGGATCCGGTACGCATAGTAACAGTACTTACCCCATTGCTGTCGATTTGGTCATCAGTAGGTGCCAACGTTGGAGACGGTAGTGTATGCGGGCGACCACCTGCATTCAGTGTAGAGCTTTGAGTCGGTACGAGCCCTTGGCTGCCGTCGCGGGCAGGCCTCGTATCTGGAGAAGGAGAAAGAGAAGGGGAAGGCGAGCCTTGGACTGTGGACTTCGGTATTGCGTGCTCAACGGGAAGTAAAACTTGCGAATTCCGTCCGTCTTCTAGCAGCTCCTGGCTTTGACCGAATACATCGCCATGGTAGTATTCTTGTGTATTCTTGGACGCGCTCTTAAACGCCCCGACAACATCGAGCAGATAGCGAGGACTCTCGGGGATGGTTAGGCGGAAGAAGAGTGCTACCACCGCTGGTAACGAGCCAAAACCGACAATCCATCGCCAGGCACTATCAAGTGTTCGTATGCACACATCGGAGCGACATTTATCGTTGTCTGTTGGTATGAAATTGTGGGATGCCGTGATCACCACAAGGGAGACAATCATACCCGAAAGTTGACCGATGGGTTGGCAACAGAAGACAGAAGCCAGCATACGAGTACGATGCCTCCGAGGAGCGAATTCACTACAGATGACAGCACTGAGAGGATAGTCCCCCCCAATACCTTTGTAAATGGATGAGCATAGGACATTCAATGCAAGGAGCGGGAGAACTCCTACCTATGCCCATCGTAAAGCGCCAGAAGAGGAGCCAACCAACGATGTCCATGCTTTTTCTCTCGCCTGTTGCACTCATCGCGACACCAAGGGTAGCAGAGATAACCACAAGCAGCTCCAGACCATACATTTTTCTTCGGCCATAAATATCTGCGAGGACTCCGAAAAGTACTTGGCCGATCAAAGTCCCGGCCAGCGTTGCACAAATCAATGCCGTCTCGTAGCTTTGTGGGATCTCGCCGTCCCAGTAGACAAACCCCAGGATTGGCAACACGACATTAACTGCAAACAGATCGTAAGCGTCGGTGAAGAAGCCGACGCCGGCAACAAAAACAACCCATTTCTGGAATGAGGAGTGGTCGATAGTCCAGTATACATAGTTCCGCCGACTAGTTATTTCCTCATCATCAGCGCCTTCAACAAAATCTTCGACGCCTGCGGTAGCCTTGTAGAACCAGCGACTCAGATTCATTGCGGTTCGAAGACCGTGTCGCTCAGACAACGGCTTTGCAAAGGTGATTGACACGAAGCCGGTCTCACGCAACGCAAATCCGAGATATGATGGGTGTCTACTTGAGCACTTGGGAGACGTTGATATATATCCATAATTCTACACGAACGTCAACAGCACGGACGCAGGGAGAATTTTGGTAATGATCAAGTCTTTTCACAGCCTTGCGAGGCAGCACCGCACAGATTTGGAGGCGAAGCAAGCTGTGCCATAGCGCTATGAATCAAGTAAGACACGCTTTGGCCTCGCTCTATTCTGGTAAATCATTCCTTGAGACCTCGGGGCCCTTCGGCCCTATCGTCACATTTCACTTGCGTCTTGGAGCCCCGACGGAAATCGAAACAGCGTCCTCTAGGGACAATTGTCAAACGAAAGGTCAACGAGGTTCTTGATGCCCGGCCATCAGAACAGGTTGTTAGGGGATCCGTAGCACTTAGCGTGTATATTAGTTGGATAAATAGCTGCCCTCGAAGAGGTTCAAAGAGGACTAATGAAGCTAGTCAATATCTCTTCACCAACAGTGAGGCTGAGCAGCGCCCCTGCTCCGGTGAACCAGGGACGGGCATTCGGCGAGCTCTCCACACGAAGTCCTTGACAGAAAACCACGCAAGTCGTACTACGGTACCTGGCATAAGTATTCGGAGTACGGCGCTAGTATATTTTGCACTAAAACAGCTTCCAAACGTAACGCCTAAGCCTTGAGCAGTTAGATGGCACTGATGTGACCAATTGACATGAATAATCATCAAAGAAGCTTGTAGATATTGCTGTGGCGCTGTATCCGAACTAGCTGCTACTAGCACCGTGTTACGAATACTTATGCCCCTTACCGTAGTATAGTACCGCATTAGTGTGCATTTATTGTGCATGAGGGGTGTCATGGCTCCGGCCCCTGTTCAAATTCCTTTGCCCACTGCCAGCAACGTGCTTCCAGGCTCGCTACCAACTGGTGTGAGCAATATGTGTATGTACAAAATGCGAATCTATTGAACCCAGAAGTCTGAGAAAAGTATGCCAACATGAAGTGCGCTCGCTCAACATCAGAAATGTACCGTTTGACTGGCTGGAATTCCTGTTTCAGCTCTGCCACAAGCTCAGGAACCTCTCCCTTTCTGCCAAAGCCATGAACTCAATTTTTATCCATTGCAGCTGTGGAGCTTCTTCTGTAGAAGTCCGCAACGACCGATCACTCCTTGTACCGGAGCCGATACTACTCCCTGAGCTGGCCCTTTCGGGCTTTTTACTAAGTTTCTGATCTAAGAAATTTAGCCGTACAGTAGGGTTTTTCTTGTCTATCTGGAATTTAACCTCAAATGAGGTTTCTGAGAAGCACAAGTCAGCAAAGAGACCACAAAAAACAGAGATATGGTAACGTACTCGGCTCTTGTATGTATATTTTGGGCGATCTTCGTCGGCTGTTGGTGTAGAATAGGATCAATGGTACCCGTGTATACCTGTCTCTCCATAGACGCAAGGTCTGAGTGACACACTCTTTTTCCCTGTTTGATTCGACAGATGTTATATCCCATGAGTCCTCAAGGTCACACCCATAAATCAACTCCTGGAATGCTTTGTGATCTGCAGAGTTCTGAAAGACGTATCTCGGCTCTCTCTCTGCACTTTCGGTAGGATGCGTTACCTTTATCAGCCTATGATTTTGTGGTTCTTTGAATGTCACCACGTTCTTCGCTTGGGGGTTAGCAACACTGTGCGATGTGTGAGGTACAGCTATCCCAAACGCGGGTAGATCATGGTAGAGATATGATCCATCTGCGCGCTCAGCTCGAAGCGACAATCCACAGTCCCTTGCTCGCCGACGTTGGCTGATCTTGCAAGACCAGGGTCTCTGCCAACCTTCGCAAGTAACTTGGGCCTCGTTGCAAAACGAACTCCAATCTATGGCCGCGGCCGGCAGTCGGATGCTAGGAAGCCTTGTGCCTGTATCAGGATCCCCGGCTGGGCTGCCGAATAGTGGCGTTGTCACAGCAGTGCTGGGACTAGTGCCTTGCCGGGTCATTGGTGAAGATGACTCCAAAAGCGGCGAGCTCATCGAACTTGCTGAGGGGCGAGGTTGAGGTGGAGCTTGACTGGCCTCTAAAGTCGGACTGAACTTTTCGATGCTGGTCCTTGTCCACGAACGGCCAACCGTGCCCACTGAGTGGGGTTGAAGGGTAGGGCTTCTGGAGGCATGTAAACTGAGTCTGGACTTCGGGCTGATAGACATATCTGAGATGCCGCTATCATTGGTATCATGGGTATCATGGGTATCACGCCTGGTAGCCTGCCGGATGACACGCCGGTTGTACTCGCGCTTTGAGCCGTTTCTGGCCCGCTCCAGTATATGCTCGACCTCTTGAAGCACTGTTTGGAGCATTGTCAAGTCCAAATCGATCGTTCTGGCTTCGTCGCTTTCGGGGAAATCCAAATCGTTTTCAACCGCACTGTTCTGATGTTGCGAGTCCAACGAAGCTTGTTCGTGCTTGAGAACATGAGTAAAGCCATCAAGCTCTTTCGCGACCTCGTCTAGCTTTAGCACCACCGTACCGTCTGTACAGCAGCCAGCTCCGAGAATCTGCGCAGTGGCGGCTTCAGGCTCCTCAGTGATACTTCGTACCCTCTGCAGCCGCCTCAGCTCGTTCAAGGTCTCCTGAGTATTTTCGATGATCTTCTCATGCACAGCTCTTCCTTCGAGTGATGCTTCCCTTTTGCCGTTAGTGTACTCTCAATAAAGTCAACGAAGACCTACTTACAAGGTCAGGTAACTGGTATAAAGCCCAATAACATGCGCATGACCGTGTACTGCGGTGATCAGCCTGCTAATGGTGCCTCTCTCCTCTGTCGTCCATCCTATGGTCTTGAAGAACTTCGCGACGGAGTTGCGACGGTCTCCAAGGACTGAGTATTTCGACAGGAACTCCTGACATTCTTCAAGAGTAACTTTGAACTGATCGTGCCCGAAATAGAGATTTTTGCCATGTTTCTTGAGCAGACTATGCAGCAACTCGAGGCACGTGTGAAACCTTCCGAATTCATCACTAAGCAGTTGAAATTGGCGTGATGAGTTCTTGCGCGCATCGTTAAAGGCCTGGTAAATTATATAGGAGATCTCAATGAGCTTGAAAAGATCCCCAGCACTCCATCCGAAGGCTGGCATAACCATGACGTGTTGAAGAATCTATGTTGTCAACAAGGACTTATGAACTGAGCTTCGACGCTGCCTGATCATGAGAGAAGTCAGCCGGGATGGGCATTATTTCTCCCACCAGTTTGAGCCATGTTGGCCAGCGCCCCGCCCTATTCCATTGCAAGGCTGTGGCGGAGTAATTAATCAAAAGGCCGTGACTTCCCATTTGCACCAATCGCATACACTCAATGTGATGCCTAGCCGAGGGTCTCCTCGTGCATCTCTGTTGTGATTCAGAATTCTTTATAATCAAATGCCTCGCTGATCTTCATGCATCACTCTGACAAGGTACGCACGGAGATTATTTTTGGCTTGACGATTTCATAACACATTAGATAATCTTCTGCTTACTACGGTATCAGGCCGAATTTTTGTACTCCCCCACTATGAAAAGGCTACTACTCATAAATAAACCTACTATGTAAAACTGGGTGTAGACGCCCACGTCATGCCCAGATAGGACTAGTTTCAAGTCTGATCTGCATCTCATTGGTGTTTGACCACTCGTTGACATCGACTCAAGCACATCAACAAGATACCTAGTAAGTACAGCATCCTATGTAGCACGTCTGATATAATGATGAGCAGAATTTGCAGATCTTGTAGAATTCGCCAGAATATGCTGGTAGAATAGCGACAGGGATGTTGCCAAGGATATGTATGTACCAAAGAGAGCGTTTTGTACTACGGTACAGAGTCGTGCACCAAAAGTAGTAGTGCAAATACGCTAAGGATATATGTGCCAAGAGGTGCACTCTTGACAACTTGGATCATGTCATTTGACTCGTCCCCTATAAGCTTTAGGCCTGCTGACGCCTTAAACAGTAGGGATTTGGATGACCTTTGGCCCCTAGGTGTTTGATTTTGGAGCTAGTATGCCCTAGAATAGTGGTTGTTTAGGGGACAGAGTAGTGGCATTTCCTTTGGCATTTAGGCTCGCTATAGGCTTCAGCCCCTGGAATGCTTAGAATGACACTACACCAATAAGTGTCAAGACAAATTTATCTTTTTATCTTGGTAAACTCTCTCTTAGCGTACTTGCACTACTTTTGGTGCACGACTCCTTACTACTAGTATCCGTGGCCCAATGGGTGGATCCCTCTGGGACCCACTTGCAGGGGGTACCCCCCTACAAGCCAACGCGCGCAGCGCGTGGCTGCCACCGTAACGAGAATATCACCGTAACGCGAATTTCGAATGGTACATTCAACTTCAAATGGTTATAGAGAGCTCAGAAATAGCCAAAATAGGAAATCAGTAGTCAGTATCTTCTAGAGGGCCATTTTCAATAGTCCACTGCAAATTTGCGTTACGCCGACGCTCATCATCCAGCTCTTTTAGTAGGGTTTGTTCCCGCTTCAGGGCCCTTTGCAGCTGTGTACCCCCCTCTTCTTCACGTTGTTTAACCATATTTCGGGCTTGTTCTGGGTATAAGACCCCCCCATTCTGTAGCTGACGTTGAGATCTACTCCTTCGTTCTTTTCGTTCTTTTTCAGCTGCAGTATATGTTGCTAAATCCTTGCGTATTTGTGTGGCTGTTTTGCTCTGAATAAGGGCTCCTTTGATGAATTTCTCTTGTAGAACTTTTTGACAGCTTGGAGTTGCGTTTTGTAATTGAATAGCATGCTTTTCGAGAGATCGAGTCGTTAGAGGCGTGCTAGTAGGCCAGACTTGAGCTTCTGGAGGTGTAGAAGGTCGAGATAGCGAATTCAGAGGAGGAAGAGGTTGATACTCTTTGATTTTTTGGAGCATAATAGCTGGGTTATAAGGAACAAGTCCGCATTCTCGAAAACCAGCTAGAATAGAGCTTTGTTTGAACGTCATTTGACGGATACTTTGAATAGCATTAAGAAATTCGATCTTATCGAATTTGCTGCATCCTTTTCGAGTTGCTTAATCTACAGCCTGCGCGTGCTAGTGCTTATAGGGTTGAAATAGAACAACGTCAAGTGGCTAAAGGATATAAGAGGTATGAGGAGGCAAGGCGAAAACGTGGATATTATTGAATTCGCAGAATTCGAGGATCTCTTGCGTAAAATGACTCTTATATCCATCACACAGTAGGATACGATGAGCTCCTATACGCGTTTGTCGACTCTGACGTTCAAAATGCCGGATATACTTATACGTAAGTTCATTATTCGTATATCCACTCTCTGAGAGGCCAACAAGGACTTCTCCTTGAAGCTCATGATAGAAACGCTCTAAATGGACCTTCCCTGGCAGAATCAACATCTGATTAATAACAGCTCCGCCAGCACTGATAGCTTCGATAGCTGTTACATAGTCACGGTTGTTATCTGAGGGTAAGTAATGCCTCTTTGCGCGTAAGGCAGTAACTATCTACTGACTCTTCCCTACTCCTATTCGAAAGCCTGTTTCGTCGAAATTCCAAATATCTGCATTCTGTACAGAGTATCTCTCTCGAAGCTGTCGAAAACGCTCAAACCAGTTTGATAACACCTCTGGATCATGAGCAAGCTTTCGTTTGAGCTCTATAGGCTTTTGCTTTACTCTATAGAGCTCAGGATGCCGATCTAGAAAGCGTCGAGCCCAATGTTGGCCTACAAAAGGCGCAGAAATATTATTGGTATGATCCTCTGCGAGAATAGCATTTGCTACACTGCTGATCTGATCATACCGCACAGAATGGCCAATTTCATCCAAAGACTTGATGTATCGCAAAAGAGAGGCCTCTTGTATTGCTGATAGCTTGTGATTAACAGGCTTTCGAGACGTACGAGGTCCTACGCCCTTGATTCGACGATATAGACGATTCTTATGCACCCCAAGTTCGCGCGCTTTTGCTGCAATGTTCAGACGCTCCCCATCCTTCTGCTCTGCAAGGAGCTCTCGTACGCCTTTGGCGACTAAGTCATCGATGTCTGCGTTCGAATTCGGCATATTGTGGAGGAGCTATACTCAAAAAACTACAATGGATATAGGGCCAAGAGCGAAATTCGCGTTACGGTGATATTCTCGTTACGGTGGCAGCCACGCGCTGCGCGTGTTGGCTTGTAGGGGGGTACCCCCTGCAAGTGGGTCCCAGAGGGATCCACCCATTGGGCCACGGATACCAGGCATAAGTATTGTTAGCGCGCTCTAGTCATAACAGCTTGGAAATGCCAAGATAGAATGCCACAGAATTGCTCGATTAAGACTAGCCAATTCTATTCAGATCGATTGTGCATTCTATTGGTATCTGCCTGGCACCTTGCTGACATTGATTCAAGCAGCTGTACGGAGTAGAAGATAAACTTCTGATAGAGCATTTTAAGCAGCTGTTATAGCCTCTCGTAGAGCATCACAACTCTGGAGACTATCATCATAATGCTCTAGAATCCAAGCCTTTATCCAATTCCAAATAAACCCGTAGAATCCAAGCGAATTTCGTCAAACTCGTTGACGACGTAGAATAAGATAGAATAAGGCTGGTAAGCTTGTACGAGAACAGTTAGCTTACAGATTACATAAAAACTTTTACACCCGGGTCTCTATGGTGAAAGACTTTGAAATTCTTCTAATTGACTGCGTGTTAATGCACCTATCAACTCTTGATGCTTACGTGAGTCTTTCTTTGAATAAATCTTGATTCAGCAAGCTTTTTGATCATGTAAATATAGTAACACAGAGGCCACCAAGACGGCAACTCCGTACCACGTCGTTTGCTTTTACAGGCATCTCGCCTCTTCTATTCAGCTTTCTTGCATGTCTCGTTTGTTGGGGTCTCAAAGTTGCTAAAGCACTGATCTGCCTCTGCTGGCAATATTCTGGCACATGATTACAACATCAATGTGGCGGACTATAACCGTCAAGCTCTATTATTTAATCATCTGCATGTTCGCTTGTACCTGCTTGTTCCCAAGCATGCCGCATGGTAACAAACAGATTTCCCACTCAGGTCATGTGTGTATCTTAGAAGGATCAAGCCTTTCGGATGGATACCGATGAGCTTCTGCAGCCTCCTCTGGGAGGAATGGGCACAATAAAGATGTCCGGGAAAAAATCAGCACGCCAAAGAATGGTGAACAAAATCAGATTGATAATGAAGTTTACTTGACAAAGGAAAGAAGCTAGGTTGCATGCCAGCTACTTAATCTTGTCAAACAGAACCCTGGACGAAGCCTGCCTATATCAATCGCAGGCTGCAGCATAAGATGCAGCGGAACTTCTTTGTGAGATGCAATCGAACAAAGCTCATGAATCATGCACTCTGCCGTGGTCTTAGGCTATGCCGATTCCCTGCTGTTGAATAACGGAATGATATGGATATATGAGTTCAAGGCTGGAAATTCAAAAAGATATTTAAGTCTACCTGCCAGTTTTGTACAGACTTTTGATTTCTCTACCACCGCATCCGACGAGTTACTCCTGATATTTCAGTCACATACGCTGCAAGCCCTGCACAACTACGAATTCTACTAGCATTCTTTCAACCACTCCTGGGCTGCTCATCATGGGTATTTGGCTTTCCACAATGAAAGCGAAGATGGCGAATGACAAGAAAGGCAACCAAGAAGAAGCAGCCGAAGCCTTACATATTATTCAGGAGCTCGTCCGTTCAACGAAGCATCAGTCCCTTAGAGAGTCATGGTGAGCCACCTGGGCCAATGGAAGCTGCATTGTACACTGCTAACGCTCGATAGTGAGAAGTATGACTTCCTCGACATACCTGCTATCTCAAAAATCTGTTGCTTTGGTTGGGCAGAATGTCCTATTTCTCCTACTCCCGAGACGATTGCTCCCATATTGAAACGCAGAATCTCCAAATTCTCGCGGGGTCGTGTCGCTGAAGGGATCTACAACTTGGCTCAACATGCAATTAGCGAGCTTCTCTCCCGGTCAGATGGGTCGTTTCAATCTCGAACTTACACGTTAGTAAAGCGTAGCGATGTGTTTGAGAGAGTCTCAGATGAGCTGACTATTGAACTTTAGGGCGCTCAACCACGATGGTTATGGTGGCGTCACCAGACTCGATATCTTCTTCTTCGTCTATCGCTTTACCAGCAAGACTCTTCGATCTAAAGCAAGTCCTGTCATTGCCTGCGAAGTCTTGGAATCGGCTACGAAGGACGATCGGCTCAACGAGAGTACGCTTCGAGTACTAGTGGGCAAATGTTTCCGCCATTCGAAACCTGAATTGGTCCAGTTCATCTATCGTGAGCTTTACAGCGCGTTGTTCCGTGCGAAGAAACATTAACTTGGTCCACGATACAAGTTGACAACAAAATTCATCGTACCCAGCCTAGTAAAATGGGAGTTGACAAAGGTGTCTCCGTTTCAAGTGCCTAGTGTAGGATGATTTGGAGGGAAGAGGTAGAAAAGGTTATAGAGTAGCGAAGAATAAGAATTTGACATCAGTAGCATTGTTGCATTGTCGTTCGCACATCCGAAATTAGTGAAGCTCATTGTGACTTTATATTCTGAGGATACAATGACCGCTTTCCCCACAGTTTGAGATCTGATGAAGGGTGCGGCACAACAGTGGAACTTCTCGCAGAGTTGTAAGCTACAGATTGCAACATCGAGCTCGAAAGGAAAATGCCAGCGGTCAAAACTTCTTGCGACTCCGAATGCCAAGAATATACACAACCCTGAGCCCTAAGCACCAATCGGCACATCAACTTTGGTGGAGTCAAGAGTCAGGACCTCAGCACACCTGCAACCCAAAGAATCTAGTTCAACAGCAAAGCTCCATTCCATCGATAAGTGCACAACCATGTAAGTAGGGCTAGATTGTCTTTCGTCGAGGCAGTATCCATCCTCGGCCGTTCCCACTACTGCACCGTTACAGGCGCTCAATCTACAGCAATCTTCATGACGTCCGCTCAGACGCTCTCATCAGCGAACTGTCACTGACCTTCAATCTCAACGTCTAGGGTGAATCTAACGACACAGAAGCGCCTCGCCGCCGCGGTGGTCGGCTGCGGAAAACGCAAGATCTGGCTCGATCCCAACGAAGTTAACGAAATCTCCAACGCCAATTCTCGCCAAACCATCCGAAAACTCGTCAGCGATGGTCTCATCATCCGCAAACCTGTTGCTATGCACTCGAGAGCTAGAGCTAGGGAATTGAATGCTGCAAGGAGGATGGGGAGACATAGAGGGTTCGGAAAGAGGAAGGGTACCAAGGATGCTAGGATGCCGAGGTGAGCGTTGCAGGACACTATGATGAAGGACCTGTTGGGCTCCTGTGGATTATCTGGCTGATGTTCTTGCTACCCTCAGCCAAGTTCTATGGATGCGTCGCCTACGAGTCCTCCGCCGTCTCCTCGTCAAGTATCGTGCCGCTGGCAAGATTGACAAGCACCTCTATCACGAACTCTACCATCTCAGCAAGGGTAACACCTTCAAGCACAAGCGCGCTCTGGTTGAACACGTAAGCTCGTTCGCTGAGAAGAATCTTTCTCGAAAACATTAACGTAATATTCTTTTTCAGATCCACAAAGCCAAAGCCGAAGCCGCCCGTGAGAGAGCACTCAAGGAGGAAATGGACGCCAAACGTGCCAAGACCAAGGCTGCGCGTGAGAGACGACAGGAGCGCATCCAGACGAAGAGGAATGCTCTGGCCGGCGAGGATGAGCCAGCTGCGAAGGAGTAGTTTAGTGAAGTCGACGACAAAGTGGGTGAGGAGGGCGTGGTTAAGGTCCCGAGCACTAAACAGGAGGCAGTAGTCTCAAGTTCGAGGATCAGCGAAGCAACCTTGGTTGTAGCGGACAATGAACTCTGTTATGAGAGAACCGTTGCTTGCGATCCGGTGTCTTCAAAATCTTTTCGAAAGCGCGAAAGGGGATAGACAGGCTAGGCTACGCTACTAGTAGTCTAATCGCAACGACAATTCAAACGAACGAATGCTTCCATGGCCAAAAGTCCTGCCTGACAGATTTTATTTCCCCTTGACACCCTTTTTAAAGAAGCCATGACGGGTGCCTTACGCGCGTCACCACCATTGGAGAAAGCTACGTCTTGAGCGAGATTACTCGACCACATGACGGTAAATGCTGGTAAGGCGGAAGGAACTCCTTCTGCCTGCTTCCAGAAAATCGCGTTAAGCATGATCCGGGCCCCCCTCCCTTCCCTTCTACTTTATATGCCCCCAACTTTTAATTCAGAAGTCACCTCCATGATCTGCATAGTACCCGTAAGTCGTTCCGAATCGTGCTCGATTGGCTTTCGACAGATATAAGAATGGCTCCCCGGGTTGGGGGATTCAAAAAAGTCGTCGTTTTCGGTAGATTAGGAAGGTAGTGCTAAAGAGAAGGAGATTGAGAGGGGAATAAGCATTCATGGTCATTCTGTACCCTTTTCAGTAGAGGTATAACTAATATGCAGTTTCCAAAATCTCAAACTACCACGATGACATCCGTCGTCCAATCCAACGCCATGACGCTCCTGGTCCGGCTTCACAACCGGAGGAACCAGAGAAATCAACCCCTCAGTTACCCATTGATACCTGCGACGGTAGAGGTTTTCAGGTTTGATGCAGATAATCAGATGACATTCTCATTCTCCATCCTGTTTCTTTCCGCCTGCTCAACCCCACTCAACCAGCTCCGCACACTCTTGACTGTTCCATCGTCCCGAGACTCCGCAGCACCAACACCACCATCATCTTCGACCTCCAGATCAAACGGATTGCTCTTCCTCGCCACACCATAAACCCTACCTCTCACAGAGGCAACGCCTACATGGGTGGAAGGCGGTCGGGGCGGATAATCATCCAAGACGCCGTTGTACATGACTTCCGTTTCACCGGGACCACTGAGTGGTCTTGTCGAAGCAGGTTGATGTTGCGAGTGATTATATTGAGCGTTGGCGGTAGTGGGTGAAAAAATCAGGGTTACGCTTTCTGTTTGTTCGTTTCTGTTGGAATTCTTTGATTGGAGATGTTTGGGTATTGCTGGCATTGCTGGGACAGCAGCGCCATTGGACGCTTCGGGTGGGTCGACGAAGGGATTGCGCATGTAGACCGAGGCATAATCTGTACGGGATGGTTTGTCATTGTGGCCGATGCCGCCGGCTGTAGGTGGTGGAGCGGGTTTGCTGGTGGCGACCGTATTAACGGTCATCCACGAGTCGCTACGCTTTGGGCCCATTTTTTTACGCGGGTTCTGCGATTTCATGGTGCCTATCTTTGCCGCGCCGAGAGGAGCGAGCGGGGAAACCATTTCATCTGAAAAGGGATCTTCGTCGATGGTCTCGGTGGTGGGGTTGAAGCGGCTGGATGCCAGCGCTGGGTCGGTAGGTGAGAAGGGATTTTCTAGGTCCGCTGTGGGAGCTGGCAGATCGGGATTAATGTCTGCTGGCAAATTTGAGAGTTTAGAAGCGGTCGATATATTTCGTTGATGAGAAGCAGCTGAACCCAAGCCTGGCACTTTTGGAGCAAAAGGTGACATGGGACCCAAGCCTTTCAATTGGAACTTGTCGGCCTCTGGCATGAGGAATTGTTGGGTCAATGGTCGTCCACTCCCATCAACAACATCTTGAGGGTATGGAGTTGTTCCACCATAGATGTCGAGGAATGACTTTCTCGAGTTCGATAGCCTTGACGCTCTGTCCATCAAAGCATTGTCCAGCTGTGATGGTTGCGATGGTCCATAATCCAATCCAGCAGAATTTCCCATTAGCTCTGCAGAAGGATCATAGTTTGCAATATCCTCTTGCGTTGTCCTATTAATCGGCCCGCTAATGTTCAATTCGCCCTTTTCTCCATCGCCTGAGGAAGGCGTATCACTAGCATTGCCCTGCTGCTGCTTCTTCCGGCGCAGGAACAACCATAGATAGACGATGAGGGCAACAACAATCAGGAAGCTGATGATAACCGCTACGAGAGTTCCAATCGCCCCTGGTCTTGTGTCTGGATTCAAGAATGCGTTGCGGATAGTAGCTAGACCACCGGCAGTTTCTCTGGTAATGGGAGCGGTGGGCGATGGCCCACCGTTTATGGTCCCAGTCGGCCTCCGTGATGCAACCGCGCTTGTGATCAGTGATGTTGCTGTGCCGATTGCAGCTGAAGCAGATGAGATAGCGCCTGGCCCATCAATGATCGTATCTGTTGGCTGTAATGATGCAGCGTCTGCGGTACCCATAAACTCCTTCCCAAGGCCAGATATACTTGGCCTGGAAGGATCTGATGCATCTGGTCCTGAATCAAGAGCGTCGCTGGGGGGAGAGTTGGAAATATCTGCCAAAGGATCCTGCGTAATCTGTGCAGAGAGAGCTGAAACAGTTTCTGCAGCATTGGCTTGATTGTTTGCACCAGAGCCTGCAATTTCGCTTTTCGCACTTGGTTCATTGTCTATAATGGCACTGCTCGTACTGCTTGCGGCAATGATATTGTTTGAATCGCTATTCTGGTTCAAGTTATTGTCTTGGGTTGCAGTTGGAGCAGTGCTACCAATAGCAGGAGGGCTAAAGGCACTTCCTATGACACGGTCCGTGGAAGAGGCATCTGTGGGCTGTGGACTAGGTGGTACAGGTGCCTGACCAGCAGTATTTGGTGGCTGTTCCTCAGCGGAACTGGTAAAGATGGCAGTGGCAGATGTCTGCGTCGCTTGTGCGCCCAGTTGACCTGAGGCTCCTGATGTCTGCTGCGAAGGTTGACCTGCATTCGTTGCAGTAAAGAAAGCTTTGCTAGTTATCGCGGCATTGGTTCTTGAGGCGGCGTTTTCCGAGATAGCTGGAGGAAAGGAGGATCCCAGGCCCGCCGGAGGAGAGCCATTTGCTGCAGTAAAGGAGCTTCCTATGCTTGGAGGAGACGCTTCCACTAGAGGTGATGATGCTATCACAGACGCAGCAGTCCCAGTCGGAGGTGCAGCATTTGCATTTTGACTGGTAGTCAAAACAGCATTCAACGCGTCGCCAGTGTTTGCAGCCACGGCGGTAGAGATAATTGACGAAGACGCGAGATTTTCATTGCGGTTGTTGCCGTTGTCCGGTACTACTGGAGGAAAAGCTACCGCTGATGCTTGGCCGCCTACTGCCTCATTGTCAACACCCAACGCATCCGTGGCAATTGCATTTACAGAGGATGGTGTAGTAGTGGGGCTGGGAGCCAGCTGAAGTAGCGAACTGGACCCATTAGCTGTATCTGCGTTGGCTGCGTCTGCGTTGGCTGCGTCTGCGATTGCTGGTTCTAAATCTGCTGCGTCTGTAGTGACTAGTTCTGCGTCGGGAGTAGCTGAGCTTGTTATGGCGGCAATATTATCACTATTTGCTAACGTTGAAGTGGCAGTACCAACTGCTACCGCTGCACTGGCAGTGGTGGAGCCAGATACAGCTGCATTCCCATTGTTAATTGAATTATCAGGAGGGAATGATATTGCTGAAGGTTGACCTCCTATTTGTTGAGCGTCTGCTGATGGTTGAGCGTCTGCTGATGGTTGAGCGTCTGCTGATGGTTGAGCGTCCACTGGTAGCTGGGTAGCTGTTGAGGGTGGTGTAGATGAACCCGAAGATTGCAGGATGGACGTGCTTGTGATTGCTGAACTCGATGTCTGCGAGGAAGACTCAAGAGCAACCACACCGGCAGCTGAAATCGATGGTGATGCTACTGCTTGTAGAATAGAAGTGAGAGCGGCTAAATCCAAGCTGGAAGGTGTAGCTGTCGCTGAAGGAGCTGCTTGTAACGAAGATTGTGGGCTCAAAATCGAAGATACTGGTGACAACGCTTGCGAGAAAGATGGGGCAATCTCCGGACTTGAGGTTGAAGTCGGTAGAAGAGGTTTTGACTCAGACGCGGATGGCACACCTGACGCACTCGACAAGACATCACTAATTGCCTGTGGGGTTGCTGCAGCCTCCAGAATTCCTGCAGCCTCTGCCTGTGCAACACTTGATGCCACTGGTTCTGAGTCCAAACCTGCAGGTAATGATGTTTGCGCTGGCTCTTGCTGGTCGTCGGAAGCTTGTGCAGACACATCGTCTGTTGGTAGACTTGAGGACTCGCCAGATGCGGGCGCTGGATCGCTCGTTGGTGTTGCCCCTGTAACCTGTCCATCACTCGATATCTGCGACGATATAGTGGCCGGGTCACTCGTGGGAAATGGAAGTGGTTGCGAGATTGAGGTATCAGGTGCGGGAGAGGCGGTAGATATTGGAGCCGGAATTGCTGATGATATCGATTGCGAATCGATTGTGGAGGCCGCTGACGGCACCGGCACCTCCGTACTCAGGATAGAGGATGGTCCCACGGGTATTCTCCCAATTCCTCCTACGTCTTGTCCATCTGAACCTTCGCTCCCCCCCTGCTGGCTAGCCAGCGTCGAATTAGAAAACGGTGAAGCTATTTTGACCTGCGTGTATTATCTATTAGATGGAGCTAAGAGAAAAGAATGACTTTATAGCGCATCTGCTCGACAGATGGCTATAATTGTTGTAAAAAGAAAGAAACATGGACCAGCCAAGGAAAAGCGAAGAGGGAAAGGAAAGAGAAACAGTTGCAGAAGCCACGAGTATGGGACGAAAAGGAACCTAGTGGTGGATTGTATGGAAGGAGTCGTAGGCATGGGAGTGGGCGTCATCATCGTTGAGTCAGTTACCGTCGATAGAGAGGGCATAACGTGGAGTGTGAGGAATGCAGAGAAGGTCTTTATGCACGTTTCAAGTTCGGCCCAGGCATAGTCGTGGGGGGACACGGCTGTTTTGGATGGTATACGATGTTCTTTCATGCTAAGAATTTTTAACTAATGTCTTGAAGAGTAATGACTCAGTCTTGTACAGTACTGAGATAGAAGTGGTCTTTTTGCAGCCAAAGACCCGGATATTAGAGGTAGAGGAGGTAGAGGAGGTGGAGAAGGTGGAGAAGGAGCAGCTGGAGTGAGCCAATAACTTTACGACGGTCGTTCTCGGCTTAAACTCCCCGGCTGGCCGAGAAGCCCTACGTAGTAAGCAGCCCTGGAAGGAATTCTATCCTCTTCTGCGCTGGCTGCCTCATGGGCCCTTGTGCCCTAAACCGTAACCAAAATTTAGGCTTCTCTTCTCAATGCTCAATTCCAATTCATATACGGAGTAATTGTGCTCTATGTTAACTACGGGACCCGGAAGCAGAGCACCACCAAGACGGCATCGCGGCAGCGGCCAGCGGGTTGTGAACCTTCTTTATTGTTGTGGTTCTGCAGGCGTAGAGCTTCGTTGAGCCCTCGTTGGAATCAGCTATGCGACCACTCACGGCATATAGTACTGATCAGACCGCAGGTCAGATGGGAGCATGAAGCCGGTGGTATATCTCCAACACTATCATCATACTTCAAGCATTTCGACCTGGTGGCCACAAGGAGAGATGGCCGTAGCTTGAAACGAGGCCACCGGACATCATCCTACACACTAAGCGTCAAACAAGTTTCGCCATGTTTGGTGGCTGGGCTCACGTAGGTAAGCAAGATCAGCCACATTCTTGACGTTCTCTGCTTCCCATCCATCTCTCACCTCGTTCCACGGTCTTGTGCTTTTGGTCGTTAGTTACCTGTATCCACATATGTTTTACGAACTATGGAGTCACGGACAGATACAGTGAGCTTATATTCCGTTGAGTATTTTCGAGATCTGCTTGAGCTACAGCTTACATTGAACATTGGCCATTTGGCTCTTCTCTTGTGGCAGAGCATGGGATGAGTCTTGTTTGTCGCTAAGTGCTCTGTTCCGAGGGAGATATTCTACTTCTTACAGGAGAACACTGGCGCTTAATTACAGATCCATTCATCTGACCCTCTTGAGACTTTCCCGACTATTTTCCTTTGGTCTTTCCTCTCGAAGTGAAAACCAGTCTCTGAATCGTCTCATGCCTCCTATCTATGCAAATACCTCCTTAATCAGACCTTCGGGGCCTTTGTTCCTGTCCGTCTTTTCTATAGTGTGCTTGAGTCTAATCTGACGAGAAACCTTCAGCCAGCCTACCGGAGGACTTGACGGGAAAAGAACGAGTCCCACCACCTGCTCCAACCCAGCTTGATTTTCCTAGCTATACCCCCCAGCATTCACCCAGTCCACTCACCACAGCTTCATCTCGAGATCTATTCCATCTTCTATGCTCTATCAAAAAACCTCAAGACATAACACCGCAATACCTCCAAATCCTAAGCCTCAGCGTCATACCCAATGCGTCCTTCCAAGACCTCTTACCACACGTTACGGAACCAGTCCACCAGGGTGGGGAACATGTTCCTCCTCCCGATCGGCTCCAGCAAACCGTTCAAGAACTCCGAATCAGCCATTCAGACGCCTTTCGCGAAGTCGTCCGTCTTCCTCCACTTCCAGGCCACGCAAAGCCTCGCTTATCACGCACTCGCAAATTCTGGACCGGTCTGCAGAGGATGTCGCAGTTCTGGGACTGCAGCATGGACAGATACTATGAAGTCGCAGACACTGAAGACGACTCATCGAGCTCGTCGGGCTCATCAGACCCTGACATAGAGATGTCACAGAGTGACCAATCCCCTCCAGACAGGCTGCCAAGTTCTTCTTCCCCCGACGGCCCGCAACCGGCAAAGACAAAGCAAGTCTATAAAGGCCGCCGCTTGAACGACGGCTCGGCCATGCCCTCTAACTTTCGTGACGAGGCTGTCTCTGCCCTCGTCGAATGCGTAGTATGGGCCTTCAACTGCCAAGTACGGGCTCCGAATCTTCCGCCTCGCCTCCAAGTACGAAACCTTCTCTTCCCAGTCCGACAGAGTTTCATTGTAGGTAGATTGCCAAGGGAGAGAGAATTGGGTAGACGAGCTGTGCTTGAGGGCCCAGTCATGGGGATTTGCTGTCGGATGGAGACGATTTTCCGACCTGACTGTATGACCGCAAATGGTGAGGTAGGTGGTAGTAGTGGCTACGGTATGAAACTCTCAGAAGTGGTGGATGAGTGGAGGGGAATTCTCGACTTGGCCCGTGAAGTTGGCGTCATGCTTCTCCTAGCCCAGGAGAGAGCCAGAGAGGGAAAGGGGGAGGTCAAGCCCGGAGAGGGGAAATGGTGGACTGCCACGCCGAGGTGGGGTGGTGGACCTGGTGGGTTGATGGAGAGCGAAATTCTTACTGCCGGGAGAGATGTTGTGGATGAGGACAAAATAGCAACACCACCACCGTCAGAGAATGCGTCTGCGGATGAATCCGTGGATGGAACCACTCCCAAGCCAAGCAGCACGGAGACCCTCTTGCCCAGGGCTGCCACACATCCTCCTGTACGGCCGAAGAGAAAAGCCATCCGAGACATCAGCGACAACAACGAACGTGGCGGCGTACAACACAAAAAAGGAAGCAAACCCACTCAAACAGAGAAATGGAAGACCTTGCGTTCCGGCCCGGGAATCTGGGATGCAAAAATGAGGTACATGCGGATTGGCGCTCCAAAGTCAATATCACAAGCGGCATCACCATCGCTGCCACCGTCCCCCGCACATGCAGAAGACAAGGCGGAGGAGATAGAAGATCAGATATTCATGGTCACATCCATCAACCACCATGTCGCTCTCACGAGCATGCAGGTCTCCGAGGCCCATCTGGCGTGGTTGGCTGGAGAGGAGCGAAAAGACGAAGAGCGCGAGCAGGGCCTGCAGCTGAAGCGGACGAGGTGGTTCGATCTGTTCGACGAGGCGGATCGGGTGGAGTTCGTGCAGGGATTGTGGGACGTGATGGCGTGGTTGATGAGAGAATGAGTTGATAAGCTGTATTCGTCTGCTTGGGATGCGGAATGGGATGGATGAGATTGAGATGGGCACGAGCATCGGGGATATTGGTAGAAACAGCAACAATATGGAGTTTTTTGTGAGTGCCGCTGAGATGGCGTTGCCGGGGTTGTTTAGTCATTGACTGCTGGGAAGGCTCAGATGGTGGAACACGAATTAATATAGAAAAGGCAAGATATAGTAGAGGTCTTAGATGAGAAATGGGTCGAATGAGTCATATTTCTTTATTGGTAGACAGCAATTCAACAGTCTCGATGGGCGGATATAAATGTTGAATGTTTGTCCATATCTCTCATTGCTGTCACGCACGACGCAATCAACTCATTACCTTCAAGTCTCATCGCATCTCCACCAACCCACCCCAACCCTCAATACAACAGCCATTTACTTGATCCACGGCTCGGCAAAAGTCCCAACCCACTCCTCCACCTCCCTCCTCAACAACAAAATCTCCCTCTGCTCCTCCCCCTCGCCCAAGTATTCCAAAAACGCCTTCACACTGCCCGGATTCTTCCTTCCCTTCGCCTCCGCCTCACTCCTAGCCGCCTTATCAACCTTCAACGTAATGCCAACCGCATGATCCACAATCTCTGCCACTCTCGCAAAATCCGGGGGTTGGAACCCTCTCGTCGTCATGGCGGGGGAACCCATCCTCAACCCGCCAGGCTTCATGGCCGATTTATCTCCGGGGACGGTGTTTTTGTTGGAGGCCAGACCGCACAGTTCGAGGACACGTTCTACCCGCGCGCCGTCGATGCTCTTGGATTTCAGGTCGACGAGCACAAGATGGTTATCCGTGCCGCCAGAGACGATGTTATACCCTAGACCGCCTGCGTATTCGCCGTTGCCAAGGCGTTCAGCCAGCGCCTTGGCGTTGGCGAGGACGGTCTTTTGGTATTCGGTAAATTCCCGGGTTTGGGCTTGTTTGAGCGCGACGGCTAGGGCGGTGATGGTGTGGTTGTGCGGACCGCCTTGATGGCCAGGGAAGACAGAGGAGTTAATGGGATTTTCTAGGTCGTAGAGTTCTGGTTGACCCTTTTTGTCAGTGCGGCGCACGCCTTTGCGGAAGAAGATCATGGCGCCGCGAGGTCCGCGGAGAGATTTGTGGGTCGTCGTGGTGACGATGTCGGAGTGGGGGAATGGAGAGGGAATTACGGACGCGGCGACTAAGCCGGAGATGTGAGCCATGTCGGAGAGAAGGTAGGCGCCTACTGATTCCGCGATGGAGCGCATGCGTTGGTAGTCGATGAGGCGGCTGTAGGCGGAAGTACCGGCGACGATGATCTTGGGGCGGTAGAGAGTTGCAAGTTCTTGGAGTTTGTTGTAGTCGATCAGGCCAGTGGTCTCATCGAGGCGGTAGGGTAGGGTTTCAAAATATTTGGAGATCATGGAGATTTTCTTGGTAGCTGTTTGATAGCCATGAGATAGGTGACCACCATGTGGGAGATCCAGACCCATTATTCTGTCATGGCTTGAACAGATGGCAGAGTAGGCATAAAGGTTTGCTGGCGAACCAGATAAGGCTGGAAGCGGTTAGAATTTGTTTCGGTCAGATTGATTTGCTGGCACCCACGTTGGACATTGACACCCCATTCTTCAGGGTTGAGTTTGAAGGTTTCCAAAGCTCGTTGCTGACAGAGTCTTTCTGACATATCGATGAATTCGTTGCCTCCATAATATCTAGCACCAGGATATCCCTCGGAGTATTTGTCTGTCACCATCAGTCTTTGTAAAGATCGAATGCAGAAGAGGCACACTTTGCATTATACTGCCAAGGGCATCCAAAACTGCTTGGGAAGTGAAGTTTTCAGAAGGAATGAGGTTTATAAAATGCTTTTGCCGCCTCTTCTCCTACTGGAAGGTCAGAAATCGGAAGATCCAGGGTTTGGCGGTCCAGTCGAACCTTCTGTAGAATCTCCCAGATGGCTGGATCTGCCTCTTCAAGAGTTGCCGATAATAGCTGCCAGTCACTCTTAGTGTCCATCATCAGGGATGGTATCTTTGTCCTCACTTTGTGCGGGCCATCCGTATATGCTGAGCTTGATGCTTGTGTTGATGCAGGACGCCGCCTTAATTTAGTGATCGCCTGACATGGTAAAGCATTGTGGTAATGGCTTATGAGCGGCCTAGCCAATGGTCTTGTCAAGAGCCTTGCCACCTTCGGACAAGCCATCTTTCTGCGACGTGAGCTACCTGCTCATTCGGCCTGCTCTGACGCACTGAAATGAGAACAAGAAATGGCAAATACGAGGATAGAAACAGGCTTCCCCCAAGAAGCGTCTTGCTCGAAATCCAGAACAGGTCGAGGGATTGAGGGGTTAGCTTCTAACGCACAACAGCAAACAACCTGTAACAAAATCAGGAGTAGGAGTAGGGATATGAATAGGAAGAAGTGGTCATATCACACAGCACCTAGCACGCAGACCGAACAATTGGCCTGATGTAGTCGATGATGTTCATGTTCGCAGTTTGTCCCGACCTCGGATGCCAAGATGCCAAGATGTCCGTGATCTGACTCGCATGACTTTCCCGATTAGGGCTCCACCCTTGGAGCAGAGACAATGACAGACCTCATCCCAACCTCCTTTTCTTCATCACAACTAAATCCAAGATGACGAGAGCCTCACAATCAGTTGCAGCACTCACTCTCTAGACCTCGTCTAGACGATGTGGGCTATGCTGAGATGTCTCAAGCCCATTCACCACCTTTGCGGGACAATATGAATGAATCTGATTGGAAAAGTTGTGGTCTGCCCCTAGTATGCTACCATGTGTGCAAAGACAATATGTTCGCTTTGTTCTTCCTTCAGCCCTGGGAATGATTTGGATCATAAAGTAGTAGTCATCCGATGGACTGTACCACAAGCACCTTTCTTTGCTATGCTTTCAAGCTAATCAAGGGTTGTTGGTCTATCGACAGCTTCCTCTTTGTTGCCGCCACAATAATCCTACACAAGAAAGAGAAGCACCATGGGAGTCTTTGTGGATATGGAGATCAAGCCCCAGCTCCTTCTTGACTGTGAGTCCATTTGATGTGGCGGCAAGAAGAATTGATGAGTCGCATGGAACATAAAATACAGAGTAAGACATTGCAAGCCACAGGCATAATGATTACCTTGCCGGTAAGTTCGTTGATGTGGTGACCATCGTCCCTTCCAATTGCAATCCTGACCTTTCCTTCCCTTCCGCTCCTCCTCCTCCTTAACCTTCACGTCACCTCATCTGTCCAGATGCATCGCAATCTTTGATGAGCCCATCACACAAGCAAAAGCCCCATTAAACTGTCCATGGCAGCTGGCAGGAAGTCACCTTGTCTTCTGAACAAGTTTGTGAACAAGCAATTCCCGAACACAGCCTGTGCCTGGAACCAACATTCACCTGTTCCTCTGAGATTTCCTCCCGGATTTCCTCCCTCAAACATGCACAAATGGCGATGCCCAGACCTCCGCACGGTCCATCCTGATCGGTCACCACTATTACTCATGGTCCTGCTTGCTGTGTTCTGCAACTTCCTCGTGAATGTATTCACTTCACTGCCTATCTAGCGTGGTCGGGTTGATCTACACCTCCTCAGCCTACTTATCTGCCTCTCCCACACCGGTAGCCTCTTCCCTTCGACGTCAATAACTCCGCCTGTCTACCTTCGTCCTGTTGATCTATTCACCATACCGCACTTGTTACTGTTGACAGTAGCAATCAACCGCTTTACACAGCACTTGAATCGTGAGTACTTCATACCAATAGCTGCCGATCTCTCGCAACACTGTTTGTCTGCGTGCCTCTTAGAGATTCGGCCCAGGGCTCACCAATAGCCCGCTGACTGCCAGCTGATAGCTCGTCCAAAACTGCCCTTCTTGCATAGCTTCACTGACCATAACAGAATTTCAGCATCATGCCTCGCAACCGTCCAACCAGAGTAGCCAAAAAGGTTAAACTCGATACCGCTGCCACCGATACTGATGTCGACGATGCCTTGCAGTCTGGCGATACCTTCGAACAAGTGTTTGGAGGATATGCTGATGTGGCTGATGAGACATCAGACGCTTCTGATGACTCCTACTATGGAACCAAGCGCAGACCGGCAGTCTTAAGGCGTGCTCGCAAACAGGCAAAACTCCGCTCTCGCAAGTTGACGTTGAACAAACCACCTGTTACCGAAGCCCCTGCAGCTGATCCAATGTCCGATATCGAATACGATTCCGAGGTTGGCGACGAAGTTCAGTGGTTGAAACCTCATCCTCGCACTCCGCCAAAATCTGCAAAAGAAGGTCGTATTCCGGACGCATCTGCCACACCTGCCAACGCTGTTGCGATTACCAAGCGTAGTCCATCGACTCCTAATATCCTCGAGATTCATGTGAACATGGGACCCAAGAGCGGCGGCTCTACTATCAACGTTGACCTCACACCCCTGCTGAACGCGTCCGGTTCTGGGGGAGCTTTGACAATCAGCCCCAACGCTGTGACTTTACCCGATGACAGCACTACAGTTGCGCTCAACTCCTCTGCAGCTGCCCCTAGCCTGCGTATGCAACGTCTCAACGAAGCGAAAGCCCGACTGCTCAAAGCAGACTCACCAAAAAAGCGCAAGACTGGGTTCACCGACCTCCCTAGCGAGATACGTATCCGTATCTACCGCTCTGTCTTTGTGACTGAATTCCAGATCAACTTACACACCCGCCAGAACTTCCAACGCTCTTCAAGCCTGCTGTCAACCTGCAAACTTGTCCACGAAGAAGGTCGAGCTGTTCTGTATGGTGAAAATGCGTTCCATCTTGAGAGATCCTACACGTCACGTGGCAGATTCTTTGACGAGGACTGGCGAGAGATCGGCTTCAAAGACATCCGTCGCTTCTTGGAAACCATCGGCACCACCAACATTTCCATGATGCGCTACATCTCTTTCGAATTTGCTGACACCAACAAAGCCAATACTCCTGTCGAAGAGGTCGAGCGCCGATGTGTCAACGATCCTGTTGTCTGGCATTGCCTAGAATTGATTGGGAACAATGCACGTCTCGAGAAGTTCGTCTTCCAGTTCTCTGGCCGCAAGAATCTTGATCGAAATGATCTGCACTTTCTTCGCGCTCTCACAACCATCAAAGCAAAGAAAGTCACCAACCTTGCCAACTTCAGTGGTGGATTCAAGGTCAAGCCGGAGTTGTTTGCTGATCTCAAGAAGCTCATGGTGCTACCGCGGGATGATGCTGACGAGGTCGACGAGACGAAGAAAAAGCCACCTACTGTTGTCATGCATCATGAGCGCAACCGTGGGACGAGATTCTACGAACTTTGTTGTCGTTAGGGGAGGAAGGAGATGGTGTGCCATGAGAGACGTTGGGATGGGGTTCTACGCACCCGGGAGTAGTGGTGTTGAATGCTTTGAAGCTCTCTTCATAATTCGCTTCGTCGCTTCTCCCGCATATAAAAAGCTATGAAGCCGGCAGAGCTTGTGCAAGCATCAAGGAAATGAGCGAAGCGGCATACCACAGTAGACCTTTGTGGATCATGTTGATCAAGGCAGCGTGTTGTTTTCCAAAAATTTCAACACTAAGAGTACGTAGATTGGAGCCGAGTCTGCAGAGGCAGAGTCCCACTTAAACCGACAGACAGACAGACACACAAAATTCCAACAAAGCTAGCAATACGAATTCTGCCTCCCATTTTTGATTGCATGAATAGGCATGAGGCAATGACCCCAGAGAGATCACATTGTGAATATTACCATATGACCTTGGAAGAGCACGTAGAGATGTATGAGTATAATACATAAGTACAGACACATGAACCAAGTAAGGATTGCCATGGAATCCCAGCATGAAAGCCTCGCTTCATTCTCGGTGTCTGGGGGTTTGTTGTAACTTCGAGCAGAAACGCAACGACGACGCTGAGTTCCGGAATTTAATTAATGTTTATTCCTGCCATATATTGCTGGACTACCTACTATCCCACATTTTGTAGACTGTGTGTGGGGACGGGGGTCAGAAAGAGTTTTCAGTATGTACAGCGCAATTGGAAGAAAAGAAGCCTAGCAATTAATCAGAGTATGAATTACGTCCTTTGGCTGGCTGTGACGGATTGAATTAGTCAATCATGCTATGCACAGCGCCTCTTCTGTTGTTTTTGATCTGTCCAGGAATGAAGAGGAGAAGAGACGCTCTCGTTGTCTCTTGCCTTTCCCTTCCCTCACTACATCTGACTGACAGGCTGGGGCACAAAAACTAACCACCATCCACCCACTCTCTCATACTTGAACTGTCTAGGGTTCTGATTTACAGCATCAGCGCAACCAAGCCCATCAGTCCTGCACCAGCGATCCCTCCCATGAAATCCATCTTGGCGGCAGCAGCACCGGTGTAGGTGGCGATGGGAGGTGAGGTTCCATTGACGCGGGAGCTGGGGCTGTAGGATGTCGAGGCGCTGGGGACTGGTGTCTTTGGTGGTGAGACGGGGCCAGATGGCACGGTACCGTTGGAGCTCGGGACGGGGTGGATGACGCTGCTTGGTTTGACTGCGCTGGAGCTCGGGACGCTGGGGATGCTGGTTGGGTAGACGGGCTTCGCGTCAGAGGAGTAGGAGCTGGGAGGAATAGGTTAGTGAGTATTCGGGCGGAAGAAAGTAGGGATACATTTGGGTAGGGGTGGAGTGGTGATCGAGAGGTGGGAAGCTTGGTGAGGAGGTGAAGAGATGCAATAAATGTGATAACTTGATAAGGACTATGCCTGGAAACATGGGGCAGGTTGTGGCAAGAGGACACCTTAGACAGGATGCCACCCAAATTAGGATACGCCCCGAATAGGATGCGCCTTAATCAGGACGACGTCTCAGAAAGGATATGCGTCACATGGGAAAATCCAAAAGCAATGTCTATAGCGGTGAAAGTAAAGTAAGGCGAAACTCACCAAGTAGTGCAGCTGGTGACGCTAGAGGTGTACACTGGAACGCTGACGGTGCAGGGGCAGTCAGAGATGGTCAAGGTAGTGGCTTCAGTGACCGTGTAGGTGTGGATGCCATGGGTGATCTTGGTGGGGGTAGGGCAGTAGGTGGTGTAGGCGGTGACAACTTGGGTGGTGTAAGTGACATTGCTGTGGGCAGAGCTCGAACTGTAGCTATCGTAGGCAGAGCTGGAGCCATGGGCGGCAGAAGCAACTGCGGCAAAGGCAAGGAGAGCGGCGCTGGTTGAGAATTGCATTTTGGTTGATTGGTTTGGTTGTTTTTGGTTTGAGGATGAAGATGAGGAGGAAGAGATCGCTGGACTGGGTTTGTTTGAATTGTTGATTTAGTCAGAGAAAACGAATGGACGATACCGAAATATCAAGTGAATAATCACAAGGTGAAAATGAGTGTACGAGTTGGGTGGGAAAGCAGAGAAAGGGAGAGTGGTTGTTTGTGACAGCTATGTGAAGGTAATATACGTAGTAGGATGTTGGTCAACACATCAGGGGCAGTGATCCACTAGCAAATAATTACTGGAATGGGCATTAACTAGTTGCTGACCATGTTCAAAACCCGAGGTCAAATTCCACCAGTGTTTGTTGTTTTGAGCCCAATCCTGGACTTCTCCCTGGCTCCGGAATTGCTTGATTGGTGAGCTGGGAAATTGTGGCTGTCGTGCTCCTGGAGCTAGCTCAGTCCAGGTCTACCTCATCCGATCAGGTCCCCGTATTCTGTGCATGGCGCACAGCCAATCTTGCTGATGCTCGTTCCTGGGAAATTGAAGGGCAGGTTGAATTTCTGTTTGACAGATGGTGTTGATCATGTTTGGATGCATCTTCACAGCTACAGCTACAGCACCGCAGGACTGGACATTGAAGCTGATGTACTACGTACCACGTAAATCTGCTATTGTCAGCAGGAGCAGCTTGCAGAATGCATTGCAGAATGCAGCTTCCTTGCCACTTAGGGGCTCTCCGATATCCAGCACTTACTTCCCTAATGACCACCGAGTACGGAGTGTAACTACTGGATTCGTATGCAAGCAAGCCACCTCAAGCCTTCACAGAAACAGAAATGAATGGCAATCTGAGCCAGTCAATATGACGGCTTCACACTCGTCCCCTACCAACACAGCAGCAAGTTTGGCCCCCGGATCTCATTCTCAAGTGTACCGCTCTATTGGACTTGAGGCTGAGGGCCCATTGACAAATTTGGTGGCCGTCTTGGCTCTTGAGTATCTGCCATAACCATTGAGAAAAATCACGGTGGAAAGCTGTTGGCAATCTCTCCCAGTCAGTTTCAACACTTGAAGTTTTGCCCAGACGGCCACAAATTGATCGATCGGTCTCGGGCCTGGGCCCTCCTGGCTGTGGCTACTTGTATTCCAGTTACACTCAGGCTGGAGGAAATAACTAGGCTTGGCGCTGACGAAGATGCGGGGAGAGCTTCTTGGAGAGCTTCTTGGAGAGCTTCTTGGAGAGGACTCCGCTCGGCCGACCTCCTGCAACAAATTGATTATATGGAGAGTTCTGGAGATGTTCCAAGTTCAGTCGGCATCAACGGATGCTGCAGGCTCGCGACAGCTCCATGGTCTTCCCTGTCTCGAAGGGTGTTCGACTGGAACCTCCACCTTGAAGAAGTCCATTGAAGCCTCGCACCCTATCCAGCTTCACCAAAATGCAGAGCAATACAGTGCAGGACGCTGTGCAGGAGAAGTCACTCTCGGATCCTGAGACATTCTGGTCTCATCATGCCGACCAACTCCACTGGCACAAGAAGTATTCTACCGTCTTGAGGAAAGGCAGGAAATGCCTCTCCAACAATGTTAGTCATGAGCACTGGAGCTGGTTTCCAGATGGAGAAATATCGACTACCTACAACTGCATTGATAGACATGTCAAGGCCGGTAATGGTGATTCGGTGGCAATCATCTGGGACTCGCCTGTCAGCCAATCAAAGCAGAAAGTCACCTACAGTCAACTTCTGGAAGAGGTGGAGACACTCGCGGGTATCATGAGGGAAGAAGGAGTGAAGAAAGGCGATGTGGTGCTAATATACATGCCTATGATTCCTGCAGCGCTGTTCGCAATCCTTGCAACCGTGCGACTTGGTGCCCTGCATGCAGTTGTGTTCGGTGGGTTTGCTCCGACATCCCTGGCACAACGCATTGAAGCAGCCAGGCCGAAGATTATCATGACCGCTTCATGCGCTATTGAAGGCGCCAAAGGTCCGTTAGATTACCGGCCTTTTGTAGAAGGTGGAATAGAGAAGAGCTCGTGGAAGCCAGAGAAGACCATCATATGGCAGCGAGACCAGAGAAGGTGGAATCCCGTATTGAAAGAGAAGGGACAGCGAAACTGGCAGCGTTTGGTCAAAAGTGCCAAGAACAGAGGTTTGAAGGCTGAGGCTGTCCCCGTGAAAGGTAACGAAGGTCTGTATATAATCTATACAAGTGGGACAACAGGTCTTCCAAAGGGCGTCCTCCGTGAAGCAGCAGGCCATGCCGTTGGATTGAATCTCTCCATCAAGTATCTGTTTGACGTCAAAGGCCCGGGAGACGTAATGTTCTGCGCCTCGGATATTGGTTGGGTTGTGGGGCACTCTTACATCGTCTACGCCCCTCTACTAGCAGGAGCCACGACGGTTCTGTTCGAAGGAAAGCCCATTGGTACACCTGATGCCGGAGCTTTCTTCAGGATAGCAGAGGAACACAAGGTTACGACTCTCTTCACTGCTCCAACAGCACTTCGAGCCATCCGCAAAGAAGACCCAGAAAACAAGTTCTTCCAAGAAATCGGCAAACGAGGAGGACTTAAGCATTGGAGAGCCCTGTTTCTGGCAGGCGAGAGAAGCGAACCCAGCATCGTATCGACCTTTCAGAAACTTCTTGATGAATATGCCGCGCCAGATGCCAGGGTCATTGACAACTGGTGGTCTTCTGAATCTGGCTCCCCTATTACGGGTATTGCACTGAGTCCTGCGGTTGGCCACGATCATTGGAGCACAGAAAAACACAAACCACTACAAATCAAACCAGGATCAGCTGGAAAGCCAATGCCTGGATTTGACGTAAGAATCGTGGATGATGAGGGCAAGGAAGTGAATCCAGGTAACATGGGCAACATTGTACTGGCTATGCCTCTTGCTCCATCAGGGTTTACAACGTTGTTCAACGATGAGGTGAGATTCTACAAGGGCTACTTAAAACGTTTCAACGGTAAATGGATTGATACTGGAGATGCTGGGATGATCGGAGATGATGGTTATGTACACGTTATGTCTCGATCCGACGACATCATTAACGTGGCTGCTCATCGTTTCAGCACCGGTAAGACCACAACGTTCTATAACTCGTATTCATTCCAACACTTCTGGCAGGCTCCATCGAACAAGCAATTCTATCCCATCCAGACATTGCCGAAGCCTGCGTGGTTGGCATTCCAGATGAGATGAAAGGCCATCTTCCATTCGCATTCGTATCTCCATCATCCGCTTCGACTGGTAAGCTACCGGCACATCCACCGCCAGAGCTCTTTCAAGCAGTCAACAAACTTGTTCGAGAACAGATCGGCTCCATCGCAAGTCTTGGCGGCATGATTCAAGGCCGAGGAATGATACCCAAGACCAGATCTGGCAAGACGCTGCGGAGAGTGTTGCGCGAATTGGTCGAGAATGGCACAAAGGGTGAGTATAATAGAGAGATCAACGTGCCTGCAACAGTGGAAGATAAAGACGTAGTTGAAGTTGCAAGAAGACTGATCAAGGAGTACTTTGAGAAGAAGAAATCCATGCAGGACGTGCCGAAATCGAAGTTGTGATGTCTTTCAGGGGAAGAGATATCTCGCTATCGAATATCCACTATCAAGAACCCCAGTATCAACGTTCAACATCAACCTTTCAAGACACAGCATGACGACCGAGAGAAGCCCGGCGCGTTCAATTTTCTGGCTCTAATGTCAAACTCTTGAAAACCATCTCGTGGTACGGCTCGTACTCGAAGTCGTATGTAGAGTCAACGCCTTGGCCGCCTGTCACGATTCATCATCCAAGAATCCCTTTATATACCTTACTTATTCGAGAATTGTCTTGCTCAAAGCAGCGAAAGGCGACTGAAGCCAGGCTACTGGCGCCGAGAACTTTCCCAACCGCCCAAGTACGACACAAATATTCAGTGACATCGAAACAACCCATACACTTCTGGATAGTGTGCCTAAACCCACGGGCCAAGAGCATGATCCAAATCAAATAATTCGAGCTTCTCGCCCCACAGCCCCAAATTCATCCATCCGTCTCATTCGGTCACCTATCTGGCCAGGCTCTGAGCCGAGACCTGCAGCACAAAGATGCAGTGCCCTCGATTTATGCTGCCAGCATCGGAAACCGAGTCCGAGTACGGATTGGAAAGCCCGGAAAACCGCACTACGCTTCATCCTTCTTTCGTCAGCCCTGGGATTAGTCAAGTCGTCCAGCAAAAAGGGTGGGAAAGTACTGCACACCGACGATTGTTGACATACTTAAGGCTCTTTTCTAGGTAGGGAGCATACATACATCTACATATCTATACATACGAAATGCACCACCACATCTCAATATTCAGATACGGTGCTTCCAGCATCTTCCTTTCAAACATCAGCAAACTCACCCCAGTGCTCTTTTCTTTTCTTTTCTTTTCTTTTCTTTTCTTTTCTTTTCTTTTCTTTTCTTTTCTTTTCTTTTCTTTTCTTTTCTTTTCTTTTCTTTTCTTTTCTTTTCTTTTCTTTTCTTTTCTTTTCTTTTCTTTTCTTTTCTTTTCTTTTCTTTTCTTTTCTTTTCTTTTCTTTTCTTTTCTTTTCTTTTCTTTTCTTTTCTTTTCTTTTCTTTTCTTTTCTTTTCTTTTCTTTTCTTTTCTTTTCTTTTCTTTTCTTTTCTTTTCTTTTCTTTTCTTTTCTTTTCTTTTCTTTTCTTTTCTTTTCTTTTCTTTTCTTTTCTTTTCTTTTCTTTTCTTTTCTTTTCTTTTCTTTTCTTTTCTTTTCTTTTCTTTTCTTTTCTTTTCTTTTCTTTTCTTTTCTTTTCTTTTCTTTTCTTTTATTTCCAAGGCAAAGAAACAGCAAGCTACCATAAAACCGTTTCGCCGGGGGACGCGATCGTGTCAGTGAAAGTGAAATCGGACACTGTCGCCCGTATCCGTCACCTTAACCTCCTGCCGAGTCAGACAAGGAGCAGCCAACTTGCCTCCTGTATTGAATCGACAGTTAATCAGATATTTTCCCCTATTGGTCCCAACCGCATGTAGGAATCGAATCACATTCGCCAGCCAGACTTGCATTGAAATGTATAGTTTTATCGAACGAACGAACGTCTTGACTTTCACGACCAGCAAAAGTGCAACGCTTTCTTTCTCGTAGGGACGGCCAGCAGGAGTCCGACTTTGCAGAAAGAGGAAGAAGAAGAAATAATTTAAAGCGTGAAGCCGCGGGTACTTCATTTTTTCTGTTAGGCATCAACGTCCATGCCACCTAACCAAACTAGTTAGACAGCAGAACATGTCGGGGTACTTCATCAATGCCACACTTCCTTCTTCCCCCCCCTTTCCCTTTAAGTCAAGTTACCTAACCCGCCCTATCTTACTTTCGTATGAAAATCTCAAAACGCCTCCTCCCCGCCACCCACCTCCACCCGTCCCACACTCCAAAGCTCCCTCTCATCCTCGAGCTCATCACTCGCCAGGCCCAACCCGCCAGCATGGCCCTCGGCCTCCCTCCTCTCCCTCGCCTGGACCCCCAACCTCAAGGCAACCCTCTTGAAATAATCCTGCATGCTCCGCTGCGTCGTGGTATTCAACAACCCCTTGCCCCCCTCCGCGCTCTTCATGTACTCCTCAAATACCGCCCCCTCGTCTTCGACGACCGAGAAGAGCTGCAAGAAGGCCGCTTCCGCCGCCAGTTTGACGGGGATGACCGCGTCGCGGACGCCGGCGAAGACGGCGGGGGCGAGCTGTGGCAGGTAAGGGCGGATGGATTGCGGGTGCTTGCGCGAGACGGTGCGCATGACGACGAGGGAGAGGCGGCGCGTGTCGATGTCTGTGCCTGGTTGGGCGGTGACGGCTAAGGAGGTGAGGAGAGGTTGGATGATTTCGGGATTGGATTCGGAATTCGGCATGACGCCTTCGGCGAGCAGGAATTTGCCCGCTGCGAGGACGCCGTTCTTTTGGATGAAGGTGCTTTTGTTGGTGAGGCCGTGGGTTATCGCGGTACAGGTTTCGGGAAGGAAGTCCTTGGTTAGGGATGCTGGACATTCGAGTAGAACGGCGTTGAGGGCGAGGATTGAGGCGTTTGTTATTGGGTGAGTGAGGACACGGCTTTTGATGAGGGATGTGGCGCTGTCGCGAGGGAGGACTCGGACCAAAGCACCTAAAAGGCGGGAGTTGGTGACCGACATGGCGTCGTCCGGGCCTTCATGGGTGGCATCGATGAGGCTCAAGATTGCATCTTTGGAGTTGTCGCTCATGTTGGATCCGACCTTCGATACGACCTCTTGCAGTGCTTTTAGCATGGCATTCCTCACTCCCGAATCTGAGGTTTTGGATCCGGTCACCAGTTCTGCGATCAAAGGATCGACTCGAGGCGTTAGTGCGATGAGTGTACTGAGAGCTTTCGTGGCGCGAAGTCTGAGATTTTCGCTTGAAGGATCTGCCAGCGATTTGGTGAAAGTCCGCTGCAGTTGTGGTAGGAAAGGTTTTAGGAAGGTGGGAATCTTCTCGAGCAACTGGTTCAATGTGTATAAAATGGCACATTTCACTTCCACAGACCTCTCAGAAACAACCCGGATCAACGGACCGGTGATCTGGGTGACAAAAGGTTTGAGCGATTCTGCACTGCTTCTGTCGATTATGTCGGATATGGCCAAGGCCGATTGCGTTCGCTGATCGACCGTGCCATTCATCAAGCCTTGGAGGAAGATCTGAAGTACCGGGAGGATGCCCTTGGGAAGAGCAAATCCTGGTAGGTTGGAACCAGCAACGCCGACCTGCAGCAAAATTTGGCGGGTTGAGATCACCAGTGCCTCCATTTCTTCCTTCCGTAAACGGGCCGTCAGCTGATTCATAGCTGTCCAGGCAGCTTTGACCACCTCGCTGTCGCGGTCGTCGAAGGAGATGAGGAGGACTCGAATAAGGTCTTGATTGTAGCGTGAATAGTCGACGGTCGCAGAAGAGAAGAATACCGCAAGATGCGAGGCGGCGACAGCCCGTCTCTGATGATCGTCATGCTTAATCATCGCCAAAACAACGCTCATTGCAGTGTTCAAGCCATCGTACTCGTCGACGGAACAGAGAACGGCATCAAACGCGGAGTTCAATTCAACCCTCAGCTCTGCATCGGTGCTCTTCGAAGTGATCCCGTCTGCAAGGTTGTTGAGGATGGAGGGAAGTCTTCGGTGCATCGACGGACCTCCGACTTCAGCCAATGAAGCAAGCGCTTTGGCATTGAAGGTGGTGATGGGAGGTGACAGCAGGGTCGGAATGAGATTGGGCAGTATCATATTCGCCCGTGTCGTTTCGGTGAGCAATGTCAGTAGCGCGGACAGAGCATTGCTGGCCTCGTCGGAATCTCTCAGAAGGTTGAGAAGATATGGCAGAACATGATCGACCGCTCTCTTCCCAAAGACCTGTTGAAAGCTGTCGAATGCTTCAGCTGCAGCTTCTCTAACCTCGCTGTCGGAATCGACCAGAGAGATTCGAAGGATCGAAACAAGCTTCTTCTCATAATCTTCAAGGGCGTCAGGAGATGCAGAGATGATAATTTCTCGAAGAGCCGTGCATATGCCTTGCCTTGTGTCTGCATCAGTTGATGTACGAAGGCCCTCTTCCAGAGAAGGTAGCAAAGCTGCCAATACCCCTTCTCCAGCCTTCCTGATCACCTCGCCAAGTGCATTACCCGCAATAACTCTCGATTCGGCGTTTGGACTTGCTAGGCGAGAGATGATCATCTGAGTCAACGTAGGCACCAATTCTCGCAAAGTCCGTGGCGTGGCAACCAGCGCCTTCCATACCGCAACAGCAGCAGTTCGAACCAACCCCGAAGTATCGCATCGGCATATGTACAGAGACGATAAAACTTTGTTCCGTTTGTCTTCTCCCAGAGCTTCCAGCAGAGACTGCCCAGCTTGAGCTGCTCCATCGTCTTCTTCCTCATCAGCGTCTGTCTTGCTGTTGATACCGGTGAGATTGAAGAGTAAGTCGCCTACAAGCTCAACGGAGCTGAGCCTAATACGATGGTTGTCATCGGCCAAGCCACGCTGTAGCTCCGGCAAGAGTAAGTCAATTGCTTTGGTAGAGAAGTTCTTAACCAGAAGACGGCCAGCTCTCAATGCGATGTCCCGAATAGCCTCTAACTCGTCCGCTAGACCCCCAAGGATTGAAGGAATGATCTGGCTCAGGTACGATGCAAAACTGTTACCAAAGCAAGCGGGAAGGAAGATAAACAGTGTCATAAAACCCTCGCGCACGGTTGGCTTGTTGCTGGCCACATTTTGCAGGATTGTAGGCATTGTCTCCTCGAGTCTGGCTGTCCCAAGTCCAGCAAGGACTTCACTGAGAGCCTGGGCCGACCCTAGACGGTCGCCCGCTCCAGTATCAGTCCTCAAAGACGCCATAAGACTGGGTATGAGATCAGGAAGAGCATCTTCACCAAGTTTCTCAACGAGGCTGCCCAGTGCTTTCGATGCTGTAGCGCGCGTCGCTGGGACCGGATCAACCGCTGCTAATCTGAGACCTGTAACGAGGATCGGTAGATGTGTGACCAAGTCTTTCCGCTCAGTCAAGTGCGCAAGACTACCGATGATTTGAGCAGACTTCCGTTTTGTAGATGATCGGTCACCAAGACCTCTTTCCAGGATTCGAACCACTAGAGCTAGTGACGGAGCATCCAGGTAGTGCACGAACGATACCTTGATCAGACCATCAAGGGCTTCCTCTGTATGTTTGGTAGGGTCACTGAGTGCTTTCAGGAGAATATCGACGCGGCCCTTAACTTCTGGATTGGTAATGACTTCCCCAAATCGTTGAAGACTGCGATTCGCGGAAAGACGTACCTCTTTATGGCTATCGTTGAGTACCGCTGCCAAAGGAGGGATGATATCGGGAAGGCTCATAGCCAGTTGTTGAGGATCAAGGTACGCCATTGCACCAAGGAGATCACAAGCGCCTTTCTTGGTCCGCCATTGCGAGTCACCCAGGCCTTCAAGCAGTCTCGGAAGAACTTGCTTGACTCCGAAAGAGCTCAAGCTGGCAAAACATGTTTTGGCGGTGTCTAGACATGCCTCACGCACGGTGGCATTCGCGTCGCTGAAACATGATAGCAGCTGAGGAAGGACTTCGATTATGTATGGCTCAAACGTTCTACCTAGACTCAGAGACAGCAATTCGTATGCAAACATCGCTCCTTGTCGTTGGTCAGGGCTCTTCTTGTTCTCTGCGGCACCTTGTAGAGCAGTCATGATTCGGTACTGACGGAGCGACGCTATGCCTCTTCCTCTAACCAATCCGGCAATCCCGTAGGCCGCACCTCGTCGAGAAGCATATTGCTTGCTTTCAAATAGTTGTTTGAGAAGCGATTCAACGTACGACGAAACCTCAGAAGCGACCAGGCGTACCAAGGGGGGAAGACAGCCAGAGACAGCCAATTGCACAGGTTCTGAGGGAGTGGACAATGATGCTAGCAGTTGTGAGATGACTGCTTTGATGCGTCCATCACCTGGCGGGAGATGACGAGCAAGTGATCCATAGAGGATAATAACAGCTTCATTGACCCAATCAGACTCGTTTGTACCCTGATCTGGTGCGTCTAGTGTGGTGTTGCACAGTTCCATGAGTGGTTCAAGAGACTCCTTTCCTCTAGTGGAGACCAGAGTAGATCCAGCGTCTAGCATTTCACTGCGAACTGAGGAATTTCTATCGGCTAGAGGTCCCTCTTTGATGAGAAACTGCAGAAACGGAACCAGCGAGTCCTTGGTGAACACCGAATGCATTTCCCGAAATGCCATGCCAATGCCGCTTCTAAGTTCCCAAGGATCGTCCGTGTTACCTTTCAGTAGCATGCCGTACTTGTCACGTTTTGGCATGACTGGAAGCGCAGCCTGAACATATGTTTCCTCCAGACGCTGTAGAGCAGAGGAGAATGTTAGTGGATTCGTAGCGATAGCTCCTGCTAACGCTCTAGCTGCACTGCTTCTCAGATGACGATCTGGATTGCTAAGATATTCCATACTGTCAAACACAAGACTTTTCTCCTCTGAAAGGCCATTTTCTTCCCACACGACAGTCGCAAGTTCTGCAATATCCTCATCTGCATCATGGCAAACGAGCCATACCTCCTTGGATGACTCCAGATTTGTCAGGTCGATTTCGGCGTGAATGGCTTGCAATACCGCGCTCCGAATTGGCGCTTCTGCAGATGTGACACCCTCCAAAAGCACCTCTATCTCAGTCTGTTGGATGTTATCAGAGATGCTAGAGCAAAGATCCACCAAGGCATCTTTGAGCAGTCTGTAGTGCTGGGTATATTTCTGCATGGCCGATATCAAGTAACGAAGTATTTGATCTCGTGGTAAATGCAACTCGGAGCATGAGCCCATGTGGAAGGTAAGAAACTCAAGGCCGAGCAACACCTGGGTGTCAGCATCGTCTCCTGGTGGGCACCCGACAGATCCTTTATCAAGAACAGTAAAGATCAATGGCAGGGTATAGCTTAATGTGACTGTGTCAAACGGTCGCTGCTCGGCAGCAAACCGGAGACGGTACAGAACCCTTGTGACCAATTCACCAAGCGGCTCAAGCTCATAATCTGGTGACAGTCGAGCATTTCCAATAGCACGTAATGTTGCCACACCGACAAATTTAGCAAGAGTGCCTAGCCGAGGCGAAATTTTAGTCGAGCAAGTCAGATAGGCCGAGGCCAGCTCCTCATCAATGAATAGGGCAGCACCCGCCTGCAGAGCATCCAACAATGTGCCGATGCACCTTGTCATCCAGGTACCAGCATCTGTTGGAGGACCCTCTGCCAAAGCTTGTACAAGTCTTGCGCCACGACGGAGGTTCTGCTGTACCCGAAAAACATTTTTGCGGGTTGCGGATTCTCGTGCCAACTGCGCATCGACTTTGGCTTGTTGATCTGCGGTGAGCTTCTTTGGCTGGCCCTTCTTCTGCGCTAGATGGGACCTCAGATCCGCCTCCCATTTCAGGATATCATGATCTTTAAGGCCTTTGCTTCCCACCTCGTTTTGGGCGTTTTGGGCCAGAACATCCACAAAAACCACACCTTCAGGAGCCCGAGCAATGGCAGCATCTAACGGACCAAGATCCTGGAATTGCGAGGGATCGAGATCTTCCGCAATCCGGTCCAGAAGTATTGGGATGATGGTGGCAGGCGCAACGAATGCAAGGTCAGCTGCGGCTTTACATGCGGCCACATGGAGTAGTGGATTGCCGGTTGTGATTCCAGTTTTACTGTGCACAAGCACCTGGTCCATCAGTTGGTCAGCCTGTTCCGCCGCAAGCGCCCCTGGATCAATGCCGGCTTTGAGGCAGGTCTCAATCCAATTGCTTCCTGCTATTAATTCATCGCGACACAATACAAGCGATTGCACGAGTTGAGTCTTGATTGCGCTCACAGGAACTAGTCGATTGTTCTCCTCACATATAGTTTTGGTGACGTTGACACAACTCAAAGCGGTATGAAGACGTTCGGTGCCTGTTCTAGATGCGACAGCAAAAGACTCCCTCTCGTTTCGATGCAATGAGTAGAGCCAATCCCACAGTCCAAGTAAGATACTTTCCGCGATAGGTAGGGGATAGTGTAGGTAGTGCGCTGCAATCGCCTCGCGAGTAGCCCGGCGAACAGAAGTAGGCACATCCGCTGCAACAAGAAAGTAGATAAGACTTTGTGCCCATGCCGATCTGGTCGCTCGACTTTCAGCAGCTAGCCCAGACCCCATGCTCGTCAACGCACGCACTGCCCACGACATCTCACTGGGTGAGGTAAGCCGCGTGATGATCTTGCTGTTAAGCATAAAAGACGGCTTTGGTGAAATGAGTAGAGACCGGGCCACGATCCGATCTCTTTTCAATGAAGAACTCATCTTGCTGTCCCATTTGCCACTTCCGACCATGGCTACTAATATGAAAGCAGCAGAAGCTTGACCACTTTGTAGACTCGCCATGGGATTGGAGCAAACCTCATCAAATGCCTGGAGCATTTCACTAGAGAAGGATTTGAGGAAGGCTGCAGAAGGAGCCTCTGTTGGAAGCAGCGGCCCGACATCCCAGAAAACTTCACTGATCTTCAAATACCAAGTCTTCCTTACGCCCGCGCGTTTGTCTCGGTATCCTTTAGAAATTGTATCGTAGACGGACTGCTCCACGTGGGAACCGTTGCAGAGCAGTACGGGAAGGTGCTTGCATAGAGCCGCTGCTTGATATTCGAGAGCGTTTTCATTGGCTTCCTTGGCAGCTATGGGCGCCACACCAAGTACGATTGAGTGAGAAGTCTTAGAGGCTGGAGGTATTGACATGAGAAATCGTGCTAACAGGCTCCGCACTTCGGGAGTAGAAGTTTTTGATGATTTCAAGGAAGCCAGAACGTTCTCGGCAATCTTTGTCAGCTCACTGACGTCTTTACACCGGTTGACGAGGACTGAAAATGCTTCAACAGCACCATCCCTGATAGCACCGTTTGTAGACCTCAGACTGGAAAGAAGGGGTTGAAGCAGATTCGCAGAAACAGGCTTCGAGAGATCGAAAGTTGAAGGCAGAGACTCAACGAAAGATGAAACAAGGCCGCTCAGGACGACTTCTGGGGAACGTAAAACAGCCTTTTCGAGTGGTGGAATGACGATTTCGGCAATGTCCTCTATGGAAACAAAAGACACAAAGAAATCATGTAAACCACTTGCGATGTGCATTGGGACGGCACTCTTACAACCAAGTACTATCTTTGCGTAGAAAGAAAGAATGTCCCTTGCCTTTTCTTGAAGGTCGGGTTTTCGTAGAGGAATCCGCACACAAACCCCAGCTATGACGCCAACGTATGGAACGTTCTCCATAACAACATTTGGGCCGGTGATGAGGCTCGGGACCATGGTAGCCAGAACTTTCCCACCAAGGCTCTCAGGTTTCAACACACTCCGCACTCCCCGTCTAGCAAGTACTAATGCAGACCGATGTACTCCAGATTTGACTTGAGGTCTAAGGCATTTCTCCAGGCTCCTGGCTGAGGCAACAGTAATGCCGTTGAGGACGGTATCGGGAGGTACATGGTTCTGCGAAATCTGCTGTTGAACGAGAACACACCACTCTAGCAAGACGAATGCATTAGTAGGCGCGATGACTGACCTTTGGGACTCGGAAAGAATGTAATCTGTGATCAGACGAGACGCTCCAGGCCTGAAAGATTCATTTCGTAGTGCGGATGTCAAGCAAGCCCGAACAGCCTCTCGTGACTGCTGGTCTTGGTATCGAGGATAGGTCTGGAGCAGAGCCTTTAACTTGTCGTAGAATGCCTCGGAGTCAAGATCTGGTGACTGGTTAGCCAAAGACATCGTTTCTGTATGCCCAGTATGACAGACCAGCACTGTCCAGATCGTGCTGCAAGCTTCTAAGGACATGTGTGCGATATTTGGTAGAACCACTTGTGAGGGCGATATGTAGGCTGTCTTCAGCACTTTTAGCTGCATTTGTGATTCCGTTCTCCATCACCAATGACTGAGACCATATTTGGAGTGAGTATCAAAGGCAAAGAAAAGACCCGACCAGCCTGTCCATTTATTGTGGTGAGCTTCGTGCGCCGGCCATTTTTTCTGTAATACAAAACTTATGCCTGCGCTGCTGCCAAGATTTCGCGGTATGATGCCAAGCGCAATCTGCAGGGCGTTTTGAGTGATGGCAATATGAGATGGTAGGTATTCGTGTTGGAATTAGACGCAGCTCACCCATAGGACCCTATATTCATGACAAACTAATTTTTAAGGCATCCGTCTCACTGGGTAAAGACCAAAGCATTTGATCAGCACTACCTACAAATGCGGAGTCCAAATTCCCATGCAGATGGCGTCTCTCAGGGTCATAAACTTCATCATGGTGTCTACAGACCAGCTGCGTCAGTACGAGAAGGGTTGCACCAGTCCAGCACTGTCTTGGAGTGCTCAGTGAATGGTATTGCCACATTGGGATGACCCTATAGACAGTACCCGAACACTAACAAGATTGAGAGAAGCAAATCCTGACGCCAAAACCATACCACATCTCCGTACCAAATGAGGCACTTAAGAACCTATCACAACAAGCTTTCTCCCATCAAATATCCAGATCAATTTGAGGACGTGGGCTGCTGGTAATTCGGGATTCCTGTCGCTCACCTACGCCAGCTGGTAGCCCGTTGGAAGGATGATTCAATTGGAGGAAGGCAGAAACGTCAACGGGTTTGGCAACATTGATGTTTACTATGTGGGCTATTCTCCAGCGTGCTGTGATGCTCAGTAATTACAGGGCCGATCAGATCGGCTTCCAGTCATCCACCAGCCAAGACCCGTTGAAGGAGCAATCCCGCTTCTGTTTTCTCATGGATGTGCATATGGCGGGCGTGAGTGCTGCTAGCAGTGACTAATTAGTTCCTTCAGGGTCCGGATGATTCATCGAAGTGAAAAGCTATTGCCTCTCCTTGAGGGTGATGGCAATAGGCCTGCCTTCCACGTTGTGGTGCCTTCCTTACCAACCCTCGGCTTTTCTACATCTACTGGTTCTCCACCGCCGAACCCGCAGCCAGCGTGCGCATGTATCATGAAGCTACCCATCCGGAGCCATAACCCACTGTAACAAAGTCTACGTTACAGGGGTGGATATCGCATATGAAGTTGGCGATTGCACATTTCCCGAGGGATCTCAACGTGGTGCTAAGGACGTGGGCGACGACGCTTGAGCCGGTGCTGATGCAGAGTCAGCATGAGAAGGGGGCCATTTTGCGGTGTGAGATGGTGCCGGAGGCTATCGTTTAAGGATTTACGGGAGATAATTGGGAACGGAGGACCTTGTTCTGGGGTTGTGGATGCAAGGTTGAGGTATTGACTGTGGACGATGTAGTAAGTGAGGTTTTAGGTAGTTTCTGTATATGGAAGATCAGATAAATATTACTTGGTAACGCGAAACTCAAAATTTAATAATATGGGAAATGCTTTTTTCTTAGTATGGCTTGAAGGCCCTCCGGCCCTGCAGCAAATCCAACCTACTGACGATGTAAAGTCATGGTGGAGAAAGACCCGAGGTCCGTGACCAGAGGAGTCAATTAATGTTGCTCTACTAAGCAGCTAGCTAGCACACAATTTTGGTGTGGAAGAGCTCAGAGCGGCATGCGTACGTCGCCAGCTTAAGGACAGACAGACGCATACTATCAACCGCACCTCCCAGGCTCTTCGATTGGGGTACTATAGAGCAGTACTGTGCTTCGATAAATCAAGCTCGGCAGCGGTAATATCCATGTCTTACCACATATGCAGAACATTTTGTATGCATAGCAAATACCGGGATTTTGTCTTGGGAGTATTCGGGCCAGGTTTCGCGTAATAAGTTACCTCCATATCTGGCTGGCTCACCCCATTGCACTGCTCTTTACTACCTTTTAATTTCCCTTGCGCTGCTAGTATGGACCCCCCTCTCTCTATTGTAGCATCTTACAGTACAGTACTACACATAAAGTCTGAGTTCAACCCCGCATTGTGCCCCACCACTGCCTCCTCCCTCTTCTCATACAAATTACTACCTACTATGGAAAACCCATTGAAATCCTATGAAACTCAAGGACACTGTTCATTTGGTTATGCTCTTTGAAGCTATACTAATTTCCTAATTAGGAAATGCGTATTTAGTATCTGGTGTACCATCCTTTTGCTGCAAGTACGCAATTCACCCTGGTATCTATACTCTTGATTAACTCGTTAATAGCTTCTTGACTAATTGCCTCCCAAACCTCGCGAATAGCTCGAAATAAGCGTTGATAATCCTCCTCACTTTTGCCCATTTGATTAAGTTTAGGATAATGCTCCTGAATCCACTGCTTGAGTTGCGCTTAAAGGTGTTTAATTGGATTCAAATTAGGACTATAGGGCGGCCAATCTATCACTGATATGCCTTCATCTTCAAACCATTTCTTAATCTTTTTAGCAGTATGAATAGGGGCATTATCCTGCATGAACGTCATACCAGGTTGCCATGTTCGAGGCAATTGGTCGTTGAGAATTACGAGATAGGAGTTGGCAGTGTATCCTGACTTCTCTGAATCAGGATCTCGATCCATTATGACTATATCTGAACGACCATCTCTATAAATTGCACCCTATATCATGACGCTGATATCCTTACCTTTCTTATAGGGTTGTACCATATCCTTATCCCACTTCTGTTGTGGTGTACGAAAGACCCAAACTCGCTGTGCCCCTGAGCCTCGTTCAAGGCTATATTCGTCAATCTATATTATCTTGCGCCATTGATCCCAAGTCCAATTCTTATGCGCTTTTGCCCATGCAAATCGTTTGCAACCACTTCCGGAGTAAGCAAGGGCCTTTTTTTGGCTATCCAATTGGTAATACCCTCATTCTTAAGTAATTTGTAGAGGGTATTTGAATGAACAGTGACCCCCGCTTGGGACTTAAGCAGGGCATAGGTAATCTTCGGATTGCTTCGTACAATACGTAGAATATTTCGTTTATCAACTCTTGATAATGCAGGGGGTCGACCAGAGCGCGGGCGCGATTGCCCTGCGTTGCGCAGGCATTCTCTTTGTAGGGTAGTACGAGGTGCCGCCCAGAAGTAATGAGATTTCGCCCTAGAGGGTATAGCGTGTAGACCAGGGTATTCGACCAATCAGAGGCCGTAGAGTCTCTCGTTTGGAGCTGAATTTGCTCTCTCTCGTTGCTATAGCTATCTCTGTACATATTTATAGATCGTTTGGAGCTCTGTGTGCAGCGTGAGGGTAATAACAACTTTCGTGGATGAGAAATATACAATTTGAGTGGTGTATAAAAGACGTAATTAATACCAAAACACTAAGGATTCTGGTGTACTAATACATGAGATAGCGTAATATGTAGTACGAGAAGCTTGTATCAAACTAATCCCAATGCAGTATCTCATTACTTCTGGGCGGCACCTCGTAGCAACAGTTGTTGGCGTACAAAAGACCTTGCCACCAATTTGCGTATTTGTCAACCCCACGGCCTTATATGCAGAAATCTGAGCTCGATCCCATATAGATAACTCTTGATTATATCCTCGATTGCCAGAAATAGCCTTAAGAGGCTCTCGTTGAGCCATAATAGTCGAATGAATAGAGTGGTGAAATTCGCGTGGTAGCATTTAGCGCGTTTTGCGACTCAGACTTTTTGTGGGGTACTGTAACTAGTATCGGTCCCAACCGGGGAAATGAAGCTTGGACAAACGCTGCTTCACGGCGTCTGTGTCGGCGCGGGCCGCACCTTCCGGGCTCAAGAATGACAGGACTTCTTACGTAGTACAGGAGAACATCAATGACTTGCTCAAGTCCTCAATGATTTCGTCAATATTATTAGCGCCTAGTATTTATAAGGAGGTGAGAGGAGTGGCTTTCGTCGACGATGAGCTGTGGTTAGCTATCCTCAGCAGGTGTGTTTCGCCCGGCTTGGAAGCTTGATAGGCATCCCAGTGGATTGCAAGGTATTTACATCTGGTCTTTTCTCCAAGCAGATAGCACATTGCTCTTGCGGAGAGCCATTATACATACACAGGTCAGTCATGGGTTTCTTGAAGGGTCTTGTACAGAGGGAAACAGCTGTTGATTATTTCTGCCATGGGGCATTGCAGATGCCCCATTAGGCGCTAAAAGCCACAGGAACGCTGTACCTACTATTCTGGCTGTTTCTCGATGAACTCTGTGTGCCAACTCTGGCCGATACAGCGAATATTTAAAGGGCAATATGACCGCTATCGGAGAGGAATTCCTATCGTGAATCTGATGCTACACCGGTGCCGAAGTCACAGCCCCGGTGCGGCAATACTCGTGGTATTGTCGTCCCATTCCACAAGCATCTGCGCCTCAACAGGCATCAGGATCTCTAGCGTACTGAAGACACAGCCCTGCGAAAAAAAAGGTAACCGGTGGTTTTATCAATAAGTACCTGATCCAACGCATTTTAATCACAGCCTCAAGAAGAAAATCGAGCAAATGAAGCCAGCATTTCTCGGACAGGGTGGGAAATGTCTGCAAAGATCATTTCGCTGATGGTCTATCACCATCATTATCATCATCAGCAGACGGAAGGCTATCATAACTTTTAACGAGCTGTGGTTGGTAGCCTGATCTTGTGGAGAGAACAGGAGGGTCCTGCATTGGTGCCCAATGCTTGGTGGCTGATATGGAAAGGATCAAGCCATCGCGGCTACTCCGCCAAAATGACAGCAGTAATAGGTTTCATTGATTGGTGTATCCGCCAACAATAAGAACATGACGAGTGACGCTAACCGCCGCTGCATATACGGGGCTGTTCGTCAGGCCTTTCTTCAGCATGTAAGACTGATGACGAGGATGCGCAGCTTGTATCCACTCAGCGTACGTGCGGTGAGTAGATCGGGTGCATAAAATAAGTCAACATTTCGTACGATCTTGGTCTTCGTCCGTTGTTCACTCGTCGTCCATGGCCTCCTCTTCACCAGACTATGGAGAGCAGGGAACTTGTGGGAGACAGCATAATAACACTGTCTGCATACCGCAAGAGTCACGAAGCTGCTGCAGTGTAAATGGGTGAGAACATTGCTCGAGTCACTGAAAACATCGCTGACAAGCATTGCATTGCGACAGTTACTGCGGAAGCACCGAGTCATAGTAAGCTGCCTCATGCGTTTCAACGCATCAGTTTGTTTTATCTGAAAACTAACTTGGGGTCAAATAGTTGCTTCACTAGCTATGGCTGCCAGTCAGGCTGCGTCGATCCGCCAGCTTTCTACCAGCCACCGAGTTCGACGCCGACTCCTACTCCTACTCCAGCACCAGTCTTGACCACAGCCCAGAAGAGTGGCATCATAGCCGGTGCCGTCCTCTTCACCCTTACCGTCATTCTTGCCATCTTGTTTTGGCAGTACAAGAAGGGGGCATTGAAACACCGAAAGATCCGATTCACATTTTCGGCGCCCAATGGGGTCTCGACCACAGCCGAATTTCCGCAAAGCTATGCGAGGCAGGCTCCGATGGTATTGGACAATGCAACAAACTTAACTCTGAATGGGCACGAAGCTGGGGCCGGCGGTCGAGTCAGGCGGTACCTTCCCAGATTTGGGACTTGGTCCACAAGGAGGGGTGCCGAAACCAATGCGATGTATAATCACGATCTTGATGACATTCGAGTGTGGGACGTGTCTAGTGAAACGGAGGTTTGATCGCTCTTTCCAGCCCTCTATACTTCGAAAGGTAGACAAAGAGGGGACTGGGGACGAATACAAATCATACCTTTTACTACCTTGGTCCATGCTTAAAGGGAGGTTTTTTTTATAATAAAGACAGAACGTGCTTGTTGAAAATTAGACTTCACAGTTTGCGTTCTTGGTGCTTCGATGATGATAGAGCGGATCATAGTCGATGCTTTGGTAGCAAGTTAGTCCGAGATTCCGTGCACCGAGCGCTTCGTGCCTCTGCGGATGCGTGGGAAGAGACTGTTCTGCCGCCTGGTTCGGTGTGGACTGGAACTTAGCCATGTAAGAACGATGCGCAAACGACCTCCGGAATATAGCCTCGCCCGCGGTGCGAGCAGCTGGTTGACCTAGCGGACACGGCCAGCGCGATCAGCTTACTACGCAATAGTACCCATCTGGAGGCTGCCCCAAATCTGCAAAACCCCGCCTGGGCCCTGGAAACATTCGTCTACCTGGTTGCGTTCAATTTTAGTGGACATGGCTGAGGCTCTCGCCATCGCGCTCGCAATCGCGACCTTGATATCTGGTTTTAGCGCCAGTGTGGTTCTTGTCGATAAGTTCAAGGCGAAATTGAAAGACCACAGGGAGGGTAGAGTTAAGCTGACGGAACTGGAGAAGCTCCAGCAGTCACTCATACAGGCGAAATCCACGGTCCAATCCACGTACGATACCCAATATCAGCTTCACGGACAAAGAATTCGAACTGGAGATGGTGAGAAATTTGTCGAACATGGCTCTGTAGACCTGACGAGCTTACACTGACGATCAATGCAGATCTAGCACGGTACATTCTCTTTGCGTTGGCTGCGCAGCAGGAGGTTCTGTTGAAGAATCTACAGAGTGTGGAGTTCGAGAGCCTGGAGGTTCAGCCTTTGATCTCGAAAATTGATAGCACCAGATCTGCGGCAACTAATTGTCTGAAAGAACTCGCTGCTCGTGCTGAGCGGCTGGATCGGCCAATGCAGCTTACTTTGCAGATGAAGGCGGCCTTGTTGAAGGATTATCAGGGCCTTTGTCCCTCGGCCGCGATGTATCGGGAGGGAAAGGCCCATCGCTCTCAGCTTGGTGCTATGTCCAGCAATAAAGGAAAGTTTTCGTGCCACTCCTGCGGAGCAACAATCACCGCAACGAAGCTCCGGATCCCGGATGCTAACGCCACGGGCTGGGTGCTGATCAATCTCTCAGGTCTGTATCGGGCTCATTGTCACGCAGGCCGCGGTTGGACCTGTATCTGGGACCCGAGAGCACCATCATGTTACAGTGTATTCCAAGATGAGAAGAGGCTACTGAAACACATGCTGGCAATACATCTTGGGAACAATGAGAATGACGTTGGTGTTACTGTGGACTGGCCGGCCGATGTTCGCTGTGGGGATTTGGAGAAGTGCGGGTTCATGGTCGTGGTGAACGGTGTGGAGATGCAAAACCTGGCAGGGAAGTTAGTTGTTCCAAGACCTAGAATCATCACAACGGCGCGCACAACCAGCGAGATCTCTCTTATGTCCGATGTGAGCACGACTGCCGCCGGCGTCAACCCTCGAGTATCAAACCTCACATCGGAGGCAACAGGGGGAATAGCCTTGTCGGGGATTGGTCCGAGAGCCCAGGAAGCTGCCGAGATGCCATGTCTCGCCGTTGATGGTAGACACCAGATGCCAGCCGGGATGAGTTCCTATGCAACTCAGGTGCGGCACGAAATGCCTGTTAATAGACGGTTCGAACTGCCCGGCGATGGAAGGTTTGAGCTGCCAGCATAATGGAAAGCGAGCACTGGGTATGTGTGAGCGAAGAAAAACCTGTAACTAGCAGTTGACAGAAAATTGCTCATTTAATTTGGTATGTGCATCGTTAAGTAAAAGTAAAATCTGCCCTGAGCTCACCTCCGGTCTGCCGCTCGAGCTCACGCTGGTCTCACCCCCTGCCCGTACCTATGCCTTCGATTTTACCTTGCTCATTGTATTGCAGAGCAACCAATGTTTTCCTCCTTCGATGCACAACACATAACTCAGTATCACAGAGTTAAACTAAACCACAGCGCCTTACTGGGCAGCCTGTCTTTACGCCTGGTAAGAACCTGCTCTGCGCAAAGGCGGAGGGGTGGCTTGTCCAAGAGCGACTTTTGGGCCCTAGAGGGATGATTGCAGGCAGCCACCGATTAGGCTGGGCGGAGCTTGAGATACTACTACGTACAGTCAATGGGGATACATCAATTAAGTGTGGTTCAAAACCCACAAGCACTGTCCTTTTGACTTTAGCATGGCTTTGCCATGCGAACCATGTATTTGACTTTTAGACGCCAATGATAACGTGTGACGGAAGCGCGTCTCGAATTGGCTTCTCTTTGCTTACGAGCCACGACACATTTGCGCGCTGGCGGAGCTGAGGCTGAGTTCATGAAGGAGCTTTCGAGACCCAGGTTCGATTCTTAAGCCTAGGTAAGAACCGATTGACCGTCGCTCATGTAGCGGTCACATTTACATTGACGGAAATGCGAGTCAGCTGGTCGATCCAGCATATTGAGACACCAAGACTGATTTCCACAGCGACAGAATCTTTTATTTGAGAATACGAAGGAGACTTGAGATGGCTGAGGCGGTCGGTGTCGCTTTGGGAGCGTTGGCTCTGTTGAGCGCGTTCAAGGACTGCATCGATCTCTTTTCAACCATTTCTGCGGCGAAGTCGCTAGGTGTCGACTGTGAAATCCTGAACACGAAGCTGGATATCGAGAAAACCCTCCTACTCCAATGGATAGATCGCGTGAGACTTCTCGATCCCTCGGATTACGACCGGCGTCTCGATGATCTAAGAATCAACAAAGCCGTTTCGTCGATCCTTACCAGTATACGGCTTCTATTAAGTGATAGTGCTAATCTCCAAAACCGCTATGGTATGAAGCCTGTGGAGAGGGAGACAGCCATCATCCCAACAATCAGCTGGCCACGAATGAATCAATTTATGCAGGAACTCGAGAACTTGTCATTGCGCTATCATGCTTCGCTATGGAGTTGGCCGATCAAGCAACGTTTCTATTGGGTCGTCAGGAACAAAGAAAAGTTCTCTGGTTTTGTCCAACAACTCTCTAGCTTCGTCAGCAAACTAAACGCTGTCATACCGGCCATCCAAGAACCTGTCGACGTTATGACCAGAAAGGATCTCGAGAGTATTCAAAATCTTCGTCAAGTGCAACTTGTCCTAGAGGCGGCTAAGAAACACGAAACGGGTGTAGCAGATCTCGCCCAGAAAAACATTTCGCAACGATGTCAAGAGCGTGTCCTCGAACGCTTGTGGTATCGTATGATTGACGAGAGAAAGAACAATGTGGCTGAGGCGCATTTTAAGATCCTCCAATGGGCTCTACACCCGCCTACGCCTGAGGTTGATTGGGATGACTTGTCTGAATGGCTGCGGTCTGGCTCAGGTATCTACTGGGTATCAGGCAAAGCTGGAAGCGGTAAGTCGACCTTAATGAAATATCTCTATCAACATCCTGAAATCCAGACCCTTCTCGAGACTTGGGTGCCTGGCCGGCGGCTTGTCATGGCCAATTTCTTCTTCTGGCATCATGGAACTCCGGAGCAGAAAACTCACGAAGGCTTGTCCCGAGGCCTATTGTACCATGTCTTGGAGGCAGATCATTCGCTGATTCCGCGAATTCTGCCAACGATGTGGCGGGAGGCACATGATGCTGGGAAAGCTAACCTAGAACTGCCATCTCCGGGAGAGATAGCAGAAGCTTTCTCAAAATTGAAGTCTGAAATCACAAAGGACAAATTCTGTTTCTTCATTGACGGTCTTGACGAGTACGCCGGAAATCCCATGACCGGCATTGCCTTCATCAACAGTCTGGCGTCAAGCGGTAACATCAAAGTCCTCGTCTCGAGCAGACCAACACCAGCGTGGGTTCAAGCATTCTCTAGCAGACCAAAGGTTCAGCTTCAAGACCTTACCAGGGACGATATCAAGACATATGTTGATGATGCAATCGGTTCTCATCCGCATGTTCAAGATCTCATGACCATGGAGCCTCAGATTATACAGAGAATCCTCGAAGATCTTGTGGACAAGGCATCAGGAGTATTTCTCTGGGTAGTTCTTGCCTGCCGGTCATTGCTGGAAGGATTTGCCGCCTTTGACTCTCCCAACGAACTTCAGCAAAGAGTGGATGAGCTACCACCCGAACTCGACAGTCTATTCAAACACATGTTAAACAAGATCGAACCGCGCTATCAGGTCCAAGCAGCAAAACTCCTGAGAATCTGCTACCAAAGGAAAGCATATCCAGAAGTAGAACCGCATACGCGGATTGGAAGTCCTTTATCTGTATGTATCTCCGAGGGCATTTACACGCTTGGTTTGGCATTGGTCGATGAGCACGACTTGGACATGAGACGTGTTCCCAGTCTGCGCCCATTATCACTTGAGGAGAAACGAATGAGATGTAAGATGCTTGAAGCACGAATGAGGAGCAGATATTGTGGTCTGCTAGAAGTTCACAGGAGCAAAGGACGAAACTACCGTTGCTTCTGCGGGCATATCAGTATGCCAACAGGCCGCTCCTTCCGTACTGGTACCGACCGGTATCGTAATGCCACAACAATTAATGGCCCGGTTGATGGCCTGGTTGATTCGATGGTAGAATTTATGCACCGCAGTGTGTTTGAATTCCTGAGCAACCCCGAAGTTTGGGGACTCGGGTGCCTTCAAATCCCAGATGACAACTTTTGACGCAAATGGTGTTCTCTCCAGAATGAACCTTTACCTAGCCTATGTCAGCACAACAGATGGGCCAGTAAAAACCACACAAGTCAACGAGTTGACCAGAGAGGCACTTCTCTGCGCCAAATATGCTGACGAAGCCTTCAGCGAAGCGACGGCATCTATACTCTACAGCTTCTCGCAAATGACTTTCGATCTCATCAAAAGTCTGTGCAAGGAAGTTGGCTTCGCTGATGACTTCCCTTTCTTTGCCGAGGTCAAGAAACATGTACGCCCCTCCGAGAAGGCCAACGGGCAACTTGCATCGGTCCTTGCTGTGGAGTTGGGCATGGTGAACATGGCTGAACACATGGGAACGCTGGGAATATTATCTTACACTCAGAAGACACCATTACTATCGCATGCCATTGACAGGCCGTTCTCCAGCTGGCTACCATCATTTGGGCTCGACGTCTCACCCGATATGGTTGCACTCCTTCTTTCGAAAGGATTTGATCCAAACATGACATTCACTGGCTCCTCATGCGCCCAGACCACCCCCTGGAAATGTTGGCTACTGTACATGCAATACTCCTTTGACCTTAGATCAGCCTCCATCGCTGCGGAAGTCACCGAGCTTTTTCTTAAAGCGAGTGCGGATGTGGACGTACAAGTTCCAGGAATCGTGTAGTCAATTGAGGCATTAATCGAGCGGCGGTTGACTGGATCGAATTCTGATGTGCCAGATTTTAACTTTGCTTTGACTCGGGACGGAAGAGCTATGAGAACCCGATGCAACGGTATCCTACGACTTATCGCCCATAAAAGGATGCACGGAAATGTTCAGACAGATGTCGCTTTGCAAGGACAACTATCAGAACACTGGCGAGCGGCTCAGGCTGTTAGCCCGGAAACATCAAATCTAGTGACAGACCATGTTGCTAAAAGAGAGCAAAGAAAGCGCCCCATCTCAGAGTCTGAGATGTCTAACGGGTTGGCCGATACACATTTTCCTGATCACCGCGCGAAGCGAACGAAATTGTATCTTGAAAAGGAGGCAGAGTCTTCGGTCTTGTGACAAACTAAGAGAGCGTCTACTATCAAGCACAGCAGACTTGATGGTAGAAAAGAAACGAAAAACAAGTTCTGAATGTGTGTGGAATGTGTTGATTCTATCTATGTTCATTTGGCGCCTTTTATGCATCAATTCCTCCTATCCTTGGCGCACTGTTAGGCTCACACGGAGATAACTCGCCTGCCGGCTTTAGACCGGCACCCTAGCGACAGATAATTAGTGTAGCACTAGCTGATCGGTCATATGGCGGTAAGCCGACCGATCAGAGACAATCAGACTTACACAACACTTTCTGTTTTCGAGGTCTCTTTGCAGTATTAAGCCGCTGGCTTACTACGCATGCTGTCCGCCTGGCAGGCGCAGGCTGCCTACTATGCAGGTGCATGACATCTACTGCAACGTTCGAATCGACAATGTTGTTTCTATCTTGATGAAAAACCTGCATATATAGCAGGCAAGCTGCAGAAACTACAACACGGAGACATCCATAGTGTTCGATCAATCAGAGCGCGTATACGCTCCCCCCCACCAACCCCAAGGGTCAAGAGCTCTCAGTTGAGCCTGCAGAAGCGAAAAACAATAAAGGAGAGCGGCATAGGGGCCCATTTCAGACATCACAAAGGGAAACAAGGCGTAGGGCCAATATAATGGGAGGCATAAAACGCTCAAAAAGCGGAAATCAATCATTCTTTCTCTCTCTTCTTTTTCCTCAGTAACCTGCTTGAGATATCCATCAAATTTCAACTGCGTAACAAAAAATTCGCGTGTCTCAGCGTTGATAAAACTTTCGATAAAAGCTGCGGACAGATATTTCAGTGGTAGACAGCTATATTTTGACTCAATTTGACATATCTGTGATCTCTACTCAAAGTTAATGTTGAGAAATATGAAAAATCTAAGCTTGTGGTTTTCTGTCATAAATCCTTCTTATTTACATGTTGTGGAAAATAGATGTCGTGAAAGGAGAAGAAGAAGAAGAAGCTTTTTGAAATGATTGAATTGCTCAGCTGTAAAAGGGGGAAAGGGAGATCATCCGATTAGAGGGGAAGGGAGGAGAGGTGAAAGAAGATTTAACGTAAATAATCTGTCTCTCTCTCTTGATTGAACAGAGTGATGCTAAACGGCCATATTAGAGGTTATTGACAAGAGGCCATTGTAAGACAAGATTATACAGCGCTCATTCATAAATCACTTGAAAACGTTGAACAGTAGTAGGTGAGTGATGGGTGAGCTGTTACTGTGCATTGCGAAAGTGTTGCAAT